TGTGTGTGTGTGTGTGTGTGTGTGTGTGTGTGTGTGTGTGTGTGTGTTGTTTTGTTCTGGGGTGTTTTGAGGGGTGCAGGACTGTGCACCCATACGCAGAGGCTAGAGAAACAGTGTACCTTTCCACCTTTTTGTTGCATCTCTTTTCTTCCCTTTTGAGACAGGCTTCTTCACTGAAATACTTCAGCTAGGCTGGCTGGCTGGGAAACTTCCAGGATCTGCTCACCCCTACCCCAAGGCTAGGGTTGGGTGCACACAGTCATGCCCAACTTTAAGTGGGTGCTGGGGATTAGAACTCAGGTCCCCAGGCGTGTGCACAAGCTCTCCAACCCACTGAGTCCTCTCCCCAGCCCTTTTTCTGTTTTGCTTCTGGTTGAGGTAAGGTCTCATGTAGCACTGACTGACCGTGGATTTGCCCATTGTACTGTGCTGGAGATCAGACCCAAGGCCTTATGCGTGCTAGGCAAGCACTCTAGCAACTAAGCTATATTTTTGTTTGTTTGTTTATATGTTTGGGCAGGGTCTGTCAGCCTAGGTTGACAGGGAACCTGTGGCAGTTTTCCTAAGTGCTAAGGTTACAGACTTAAGACACCATGGTTGCCTGCCTTTTTAAATTTTTTATCAGTTTATTTATTTATTTAAAAAGAATCTCCTGTACTCGAGGCTCATTTTCGTGTGTGGTGTGGTGTGTGTGTGTGTGTGTGTGTGTGTGTGTTTGGTTCTTTTGCTTTGTTTTGTTTTTTTGAAACAGGGTTTCTCTGTGTAGCCTTGGCGGTCCTGGAACTCACTCTGTAGACCAGGCTGGCCTCGAACTCACAGAGATCAGCCAGCTCCTGCCTCCCAAGTGCTGGGATTAAAGGCATGCACTACTATCACCCAGCAATAAAGATATATATATATATTAATTACATGAAGCACACTCAGGACATAGCACAGAGTCACACTTCCCAGGATGTCATCGGATTGGATCGCCAGAGCCACTAAGACACAAAGTAAAATGTTGGGTGTTAGTGGCCCGGGTTGGAGATGAACATTACTGTCAGATGGAGACAAGGCTTCAGTGTGGGAAAGTGGAAAGTTGTGGAGACGCATAGTAGGACCTGAAGCACAGTTCTGTGGATGAACTCCATGGCACCAGGCTACCCATGGAAACATGGCTTAAGTTATTTAATTTTCTTGTTTTCTTTTTTATTTTTGTTTTGTTGAGACAGGATTTCTCTGTGTAGACTTGGCTGTCCTAGACTCGCTTTGTAGATCAGGCTGGCCTTGAACTCAAAGAGATCCTCCTGTCTCTGCCTCCCCAGTCCTGGGATTAAAGGAGTGTGCCACCACCGCCTGGCAGGCTTAACTATATTTTCATATTCTGTGTGCATTTATACAACAATTGTAAACTAGTAAGTGAATGAAGCAATGAGAGGGCAGAGAACCAGGTGTAATTTGGGGACTAAAAGCCTGGACACAGGAGCTGTAGGTGACCTTGAGGTCACCTATATAGAAACACAGCTTGGCAGCAGGGCTCCAGGACCACCCAGAGAGATGTTCCTGGTGGGGTCTTTTCTCAACAAAGTCCTTGGGCAAAGACAGCCTGTAAGAGCGGGAGATCATTTCTCATCCCAGACAGAAAAGAAATGGGGGAGCGGGGGACACCCCAGATAGGTAAAGCTCTCAGCTGCACCTCCCCGTGTCCACTTTGGTCCCCGCCGACACCACTGCTCAGCACCTTCACAGATAGCGTGCCCTCTGAGAGTACAGCTAACTTGATAATATGTCTCACCTCCAACCCCCACCAGGCTGGAGGGCCAAAGCAAGGCAATCCACAGCACCCATCTATTCACTGAAACAGTGACTGCAAACCAATTAATTCTTTCCGCATTCGGGGTGCTTGTCCAATTGGTATGGTGGCTATTATGCATGTTCTTCTTCTGTTTTGTTTTACTGTAGGCTTGTCTGGACACTGTAAGTAGTGAAAATGACCTTGAACTTCTGATCCTCCTGCCTTCCACTTTCCTAGCTTGGAACTATGTATAAACCACGCCCACCTCAGCCACACTTATGACTGTGAAAAGAAACAGGCAGAGGAGGGAACAGAACAGGGCTTCCAGCGCAGGCCAGACTGGTGCTCATCACTCAGCCACGCCCCAAACCCTCACTGGGGAATTCAAGGCAGGGACTCCAACCTGGCTGTGTCCCCCCTCCCCCACCCCTCACTAGAGAATTCTCAAAAGGATCTCTGAAATAAGCTCAGCAAGGGAGATGGGAGAACACGAGGCCCTGACAGTGGATCCTTAGATGCTTCTGAAAGAAAAATAAAAACATGCCTCCAGGCTGGAGAGACGGCTCTGCTGTTAAGAGCACTGGCTGCTCTTCAAGATAACCTGAGTTCAATTCCCAGCACCTACATGGCAGCTCACAAACTGTCTCTAATCCCACACCTTCACACAGACATACATGCAATACACATGAAATAAAAAAAAAAAAAAAACTTCCACCCAAGAACTTAAATGTCTGTTCATATCAGCATGAATCCTACAAATTTTAAACACAACCCACAACCAGTTCATGGATGGATGGATAATGAACACATAGGAGTCTTTTGTTTCACACACGGGAGTTTGGTTCAGTCCTGAACAGAAAAAAGGCTGTGACACATGCCAGTGCAGGACAGTGGTTCTGAACCTTCCTAATACTGCAACCCTTCAGCACAGCTCCCCAACCATAGAATTATTTCCATTGCTACTTCAGAACTGTAATTTTGCTGTTATTGTGAGTCACAAGACAAATATCTGTATTTTTATATGGTGTTAGACAACTCCACAGGGGTCCTGACCCACAGGTTGAGAACCGCTGGTGTCGGGCTCTGGAAAACATGATGCTCAGTGAGGCGACCAGACACAAAAGGCCACGGTGAGGAAGGGACTCCATAGAAAACATCCAGAACTGGAAATGCAGTTTGGTTGGCTTGGTTTTTTGAGACAGGGTTTCTTTGTGTAGCCCTGGCTGGCCTGGAACTCAGAGATCCGCCTGCTTCTGCTGGGATTATAAGGCATGGGCCAACAGGCCCTGCTATTGGGAATGCAGATTTAAGAAGGGTTTTCAAGGTGGGTTGGATTTTCGGTGGAGCCCTGCCTAGAATTACCGACTAAGGGGCCAAGGGCGTGGTCAGGGTAGAGCTCCTTCATCGAAATCCCCAGTGAGGGGCTGGGGGCGTGGTCAGGGGTCGAGCACCTCTCTAGTATCTGCAAAGCCCGGGATTCCATCAAAAACTTTTAAAAATGAGTAGAAGCGAGGGGTTCTGGATTAAGTGAGCGCAATTGTGGTGCTGCTGTTGGAGCTGCAGGCCTCATACATGCTAATCAAGCTCTCACTATTCAACCGCACAGCTTGAAACTGCCGAGAAAGATTTTGAATGGTACAAGGACCATGAGCTGATCGTTGTGACGGGGCCTGGGGGACAGCATGGCAAGACGGCGCAGTGAAGCAGAGGTTTCGCAAGTCTGCAGGTGGGGATCCAAGAGGCCACACAAGGAGGATGTTTTCGGCCGGCGAGGAAGCTAGAATCAGATGGGAATGTGCGCTGCGCAATTATAGAGGACCCCAGAGAACCGTGAAAGCCGGAGGACCAAAGGCCTCGTGGATGCCTGTGCGCGAGGCTGTGCAGTAGGAAGTGACGAGGAGCGCAGAAGCTGCGGGCGAGCCCCACTCAGGGTCTCCAGCACTGACGAACAGGAGCCAGGGAGAAGTCCCACCAGGCTGGAAGGCTTGGGGACGGGGTCCCCCCAGCCGACACATGCGCGCAATACCAGTGTTGGCCACTAGGCGGGGTGCAGCAGCGCCCGGGCACAGGTGCGAAGGGGCGGCTCAGCTCCACCCCACCCCAGCGACAGGTCCCTGAGCTCTGCAGAGCTCTGTGAATCGGGGTCTTTTTCTCCAACAGGGATCTAAACTCCCATTGGTTCCTAAAAGCTCTCGACCTCTTGAATCCCCACCCACATGCCTTTCTCTGCACCAACCTCCTTCATAATCCCGAGAGTATGCAGTAGGCATTCTACTTGTTCAGGAGGGCATTGCAAGAATGGCCCTTGTGTGTAGTGGGGTCGGTCCCGAGGCATCTTCTGACTAGAGACTGTTGAGTTCCTCCACTATGTGCAACTCTAGGGGTCCTTCCCCACCCCCACCTCCCCTGCTGTCTCCGGAAGGGGGCGGGAAGCGGACGCCCCCAGGCGCCCTGTCACCGAGCTCTGGTTGCTGGGTAACGGGGCGGCGGGTGCGCAGCTGCGCCAGGCGTGGGTGACTTTTTTGAGTTGTGCATGCTGCTGTAGGCAGCCCCCTCCCAGGGCCTCAGAGGGTCACAGCCCAGCTGGAGCTGCCTCAGTTTCTCCAGAACGTAGCTGGGGACCTTGGGGGCCATAGTGATAGGGGCGGGACATGCGAACCAATCAGACAAGACACCAGGGCAGGTTTTAAAAAAGGGCTTCTTTAATTAAATACAAGGGTGAGAGGCCAGGCGGAATGGAGGAGGGGTGCCCCCACAGAAAGAACAAATCCCTTAGACTCTTGTCCTGACTGCCCCGCAGACATCGCCCCTCAATGGTTAGACCCAGGTCCCAGTGACCAACCAGAACGTGAAGTTAGGAGGGAGGGAGGGAGGGAGGCAGGAAAGCTCTGGTTGCTTATGGACCTCAGACCCCGTTTGCAGGAAGAACAGGGGACCAGCAAGAGCTCGGATGAAGCAGGATACATCCAAAAGACACAAGAAGAATGGGGCCCCAGCCCCCCACCCCACCCCACAACTAAGGCATCTCATTTCTGTGGCCAAAGAGAAGGGGCAAATGGTACCTGGGAGGAGGGCTGGCCCAGGACCCTAAGAGCCCAGCTCTAGAAGGGTAACCCCTCCCCACACACATAGGCTCAGGTAAAGGTGGCTTTACCCAAAGCCTCCCTCACTGGACGATGGAAGGTTCTGGAACAAACTGGGTATGCCAGAAACCTCCCACAGCCTACACAGGGCAGCTCAGCTATCTCTGGGTCCCCAATTCCTGGGGGGTGGGGGTTGTCCCTAATTGCCTTTCTAGAAAAGGAACTCCAAACTGCAGTAGAAAGAGGACCCTGCGAAAGGCTCTCCTGAGAGACCTCCCCAATCCACTTCCATGTTCACTGTGAGACCTTCCCCCCCCAACACTCATACCCCTGAGGACGGTGGCCACACAAAAGGACCCCCTGGAACAAGGAACTGGAGCCTGAAAAAATAGTCTATCCCATCAAAAAAAAAAAAAAAAAAAAAAAAAAATTAAAAAGCAAACAAAACAAAACAAACAAAAAAAAAAAAACAGAACAAAAAAAAAAAAAAATGAGTTACCCCAGGAGGCCCAGAAGCTGAGGCCCCTGCCTTCAGCCCTGGAGTCCAAGGCCACCCTCTGCAGACACCCAGGAATGTGGAGGGCATGGCAGAGCCCTACACCCCTAGTCTGATGGCCACAGGGGTCCTAGAAAAGATTGTCTGAGACGCAAGGCCACCAAGGCCAAACTCAGGGACTCTAACCCAGTGGGAGCAGGGAGGCTGAGCCCCAGGCATCAGATACCCACTGTCTCTCTCACACATATGCACACCCAGATAGGGGAAGCCAGGGCCCCTTTACCAGCAGTCAGAGAGGACAATAAATAACGTTTCCCACCTGCCCAGCACCACACCCTGAAGTGAGTGGTGATGCTCTGTAAGGGACCTCCACACCCCTGCCCGAGACCCCCTAAGTTCTCCTCTGAAAACTGTAGCGTCTCTTGTACTTCTGGGGCTAGGAGCACGGGGAGGCCCTTACTGAGGGCAGAACCTGTGGACACCTGAGATTTGAGTACCCATGGCAGGGCGTCAGCCAGGCTGCACGACCCATTTCCCTGAACTTCCGCCAATGGCTTTCAGTGGAGTGGGGACACGCTGGGGCCCGCGGGAAGCCCCAGTCTCCTATGGCTCTGTGTACTTGTGTCCCAAGCTGGAGGAGTGACTGGGGGCTGAAGGAGTGGTACTGGGTCTGGGCTTCGTGCCCAGTGCCACCCAGGAGGGAAGGCAGAGGGTGGCAGGAGGGGAAAGGGAGGGCCTGCTGACTGCCCATTTAGGGGTCCCTGCAGAGGGGATGGGACAGCTGATCATGGCTATTTACAGACAGAACCCTAGGCCACCTTCCAGGCCCCCAGGTGACCCAAGTCCGTTCTCAGTACCCTGGCTGCCTCCTTGAGGTGGGCTGGGACTCCAGGACACGGGCTCTCCAGAGGACAGGCGTGTCCCTTGATGGAAATCCCTGCCGATTCGTGGCAAGCGGACCACTCTCAGGGTGGGTAGCCAGGGCTCTACAAGGCGGCAGGAGCTGGGCTGGGGACAGGGCTAGGGGAGGGGCTGCCAGCCAGGCTACAGGGCAGCGAGTCGCTGGGGGAGGCGCTGCGGGCACCAGGTCGCCGGAGCAGTTCCGGACGGAAGCCGGGATGGCGTCGGGCGTGCTTGGTCAGGTGGTCGCTGCGGGTGAAGCGCTTGGTGCACAGGGGACAGGGAAACCGCTTCTCGCCTGTGTGTGTCCGGTGGTGGCGGGCCAGCTCATCGGAACGGGCAAACTTCTTGTCACAGCCAGGCCAATCACAGGCAAAGGGCCGCTCACCTGGACAGAAAAAAACAGAGCGGTCAGAGGGCGAGGGCAGGAAATGCCCATAAATCCCCAAGCTGCCACCCACCTACAGAGTTAGCCTAATTAACCCTCCATGTTGGGCAACTTGGATGAGCGTGGCTAGACCACCTTGCTTCCGAGTACACTAAACGGCAGGCACTGGGCTCCGAGCCTGGCTTGTTCTGAACCTGAGGCCTTCTACATGCTTAGGGGAGCGCTCTGCCCACTGAGCTACATTCCCAGACAGCCCTACAGGTCTGTGGAGTCAGGGTCTTGCTACATAGCCCAGCTCACCTAGAACTGGAGGCAAAATCTTGCCTCAGCCTCCCAAGTGTTGGGCCTACAGGAGTGGGCCACCATGCCCATGATTAGTCTATGTCTTTTTCCTGCCCATCCTAACAGGTCCTCAGATGTCCTTTCTTCCAAATGACCACGAGGCGGCGAAAGGACCTGGGACACATGAACACAGGACACCCCCCTGTACCCTGGGCCATGGGCAGATCTGACTAATCAGACCCAGCTAGTTTCAGCCACGATTCTGAAGCTGGGGTGCAGAGCAGCGGTCATGTGCCCTGCCGAGGTAAGAAAGGTCACCAGGCAACCCCCAAAGTAAGCTTAAATTCACCCACTGGATGGAGAGGAGAGTGAGTGAGGGCGTGGCTTCAAGGGGCGGAGCCAGTCCGACTGGCTGCACTTGCAGCTGGGCAGGGGCGGGCCATCACTAGGCAACTTCCTCCACAGACCACTCCCATCCCTCTGGTGGCCTCGCTGGCCCTGCCAAGGACCCGCCAGCAACAGCTATCCCCTCCCTGGCCCCCCGGAGGCCCCCACACCACCAGGCCGAGCTCGCCTCATGGTTAGCATCTTCCTAGACGGACCTCCAAGGACCGAGGAAAGGCCAGTGGGTTCACATAGAACCCCAGAGCCTCGGACTTGGTCTGGATGGCCCTAGGCTCCAGGGCCTGTGTGCACCAGGTACTCAAAAGCCTGGAAGGGTGGTGTGCGCCCAGGGCCGACCTGAAAGCGTACAATTCTGCTTGTGACAGAGTCCAGAGGGGGAAGGAGGCAGAACCAGGCCACTAAGTGACCCGGAGGCCTAAGCTCTGGGAAGTCACAAGCGGGACTAGCACAGGTCACCTCCAGTGGTCCCAGGCTAATCCACTGGGAAACAGGTACTCTGAAGGAGTCCCTCAGAAAATGGCCAAGGGGCCCTCCAGGCAGGACTAATGGAAGTGAGGAGAGGAAGTGTAGAGGCCACCAGAAAGCGGAACAGATACTGGGCTGGCCCGAAGACCGGGTGACCTGGTGACATCTTTGCTCTAAGGAGCTCAAAGGATCCCAGGAGAGAGGCACTAAACTGAGGAAGGGGAGGGAAAGTGGGCGGGTCCGGGACCAGACGCAGCATCAGCCACCGCCGCCCAGGAAGCAGCCAGAAGAAAACTCTCTCCATCCGGGACCCCTGCAAACCACACCCAAGCGCCCCTTACTATGGGGCACAGGACGCAGGAAACTGGGGTACCCACGGTCCAGTTGCGTGTGGCATCTGGGCAACCCGAAGCCCCAGAAGTTGCGACCCTGGGCAGCAAAGGGAGGGAGAAGGAAGCAGCGTTCCCGGGCGGTTGCCAGTAGCTCTCAGCATTTCCGAAGTGTCCCCTGAATGATCTGAAATGCCGGGTCCGTCAGCGGGCCCCAGAGTCCCAAGGCAGCCCCAGAAAGCACTGCCCCACCCCAGCCCGAGCGCAGCGCTCAAGGGGCTCAGTCTGGACGGGAGGGACGCTTGGTTATGGGGAGAGAGGTTGCTAGCTTTGGAACCGGGCGACAGAACCATGTCCGTCCAAGGGGGACAATCCTGTCGCCATTTTGCGCTCGGAGGAGGGGGAGGGGCGAGAGGAAAGGGGATACCCCCAGCATGCAACCAGCTTACTTCCCCTTTCGGGGCCTCCCCGCGGGGCTGGTCCCCGCCTCTCGTCCCCTAGTTCCGCTCTGCCAGGAGCAGGTTGCAGTGGAGGCGCCCGCGGCCCGCGCCGGCCCGCAGGGAACGCAGCTGCCGCAGTAGCTCGGCGGCGACCGGCGGAGACATCGGCAGCCCAACCGGCCTTGCTCACGTGGTCCTCGCTCCCGCCACGGGGAAAACAGAGGCCCGGGCAGGGTCGCCTGGCTGCGCTGGGAGCCTGCCAGCGCCCGCCCCGCGCTTTGGGGGCTGGGAAGCGCACGTGTGCACACCGGTGGCGGTATGGTACCCAGAGCACACTCCCCCACCCCCGAAACGTCGGGCGTCACAGTCTACCCGGAGGGGTGCTGCAGGCGAGGGAGCGTTTCCAAGCCCAAGTCCTGACTGCAGGACCTCCTGGCCCGGAGAAGGGTTAGGTGGGTGGGGACCACGCAGAAAGGGCCCTGTAGGCGTGGCTATGGACTTGACCCTCTGACTCAGGCGGGGCCGAGGTGAACTGGGGACAACTCGGAAGCCTTAGGTGCTTTGCAGCCTTGAAAACAGGCAAGGTTGTGACATCCTGTAAACTTGCTCCAGGAGGGGCGTGGCCAGCAGAGGGGGACCCGAAGGTGCAGTTTCCACCAGGCCACGCCTCACCCTGCCTGGGTCTGGCCTCCTCCGGGGAAGGCCTGGACTGGTACTTTTTTTTTTTTTTTTCAGCCCAGCAGCTGTACAAGAGTTTGTCAGATCTCCACCTTGGCTGGGAGTCAAGGATGAAGCCCAAACCTTGGCTCTGTTAGCTGCCCGCTACCCCTTCCCAGAGGGGCATGACCTCTGACTCTGCTGGTGGTCTCCCAATAGGACATCTGTCCCTCCTCAGCTGGGGCCCAGTGCTGGGTTTCTAAAATGTCACAGCATGAGTCTGGCGGACAGCGAGGGGCTTAACACTTGCTGAGGGAAAGTCTACAGGGTAAAGACACATGAACCAGGGCCAGGAAGGCTGGCTCACTGCGCCCCTCAGTCTGACATCTCCCAAGAGGGGACTCCTATCACCCCATTTACATAAAAGAGGGGAAGTGGGCTAGTAAGATGCCTCCTCCCACCAAGCCCACGTTAGAAGAGAACCAATTTGCCAAATTGTCCTCTGACCTTTCACACACGCACCATGGCACATACGTGCCCACACACACACAGTAAATAGAAATATGTTCATCCAGGCAGTGGCAGCACACGCAGAGGCAGGCGGGTCCGAGTTCGAGACCAGCCTGGGCTGCATTTTAAGTCCCAGCCTAGTCAGGGCTATCGGGTTGAAACTGTCTCAAAGGCTCATCAATTAGAGAGGGGCAGCATGGCTCTGTACCCCTCCCAGAGGGCCCGGCTACCTGAATACTCCCCACCTCTCAGCTCTTGAGACTGGGGAGTGAAGACGGCACCCCCACGAGACTTCCCAGGACAGACACCAACCCACCCCACCTGCTTGTATCATCTACCGACTGTCGGCCCATCTGGGTGCTTTTATCAGAAGCCTGGGTGGGGGTGTGGTTATCACCTCCAGCAATGTTGGGGCTCCCCCACCAGCTGGGGAACATGCCCCAGCTGCTGTGGTGCTGGAGGGAGGCTCGGAGGTGAGGGTGGGAGCAGTCCCCAAGGGCCACCTGAACCCCACAGGGCCTAAGCCTTTCCCCTCTGCCTGTGGGTCTGACCAGGCCTCAGTTTCCCCATCTGTCTCTCCTCCTGGAGACATCTTCGGAAGAAACGCTAGGGATAGCCCTGGCATTCTCTGCACTCCACCCCTTCAGACACCACCCCACACTCAACCCTCCCACCCTAATCCCTCCTCTATAAAGAGATTTCCTGATAAAGCCGGGCTGGCCTCCTAGACACCCCCCCCCCCCCCCGCGATTAAAGGCAACCCTTCAGTAGCCCTCAAAATCCCAGCCACACCATTCCTGGCCCCACCCGGCTACTCAGGCCTCAGCAAATCTCTCTCCACCTTCCAACTCACGGTTCGTGGGGAAAGGGGCAAGGCCCACAGCGCCCCTGACAGCCTTGGTAAGCACAGGCGTCAACATTTCTTCAGACGCTTGTGTGTGTCTGGCATTTGTGTGTGCACCTCGTACCAGTGCAGGTCTCCGGGACCATCTCTTCTCGGTCACCCTTACCTAACTGAGCCATCACCCTGGCCCCCACACTAACGTTTCTCAGACTTAAGGAAACAGGATTTTCAGATAATATACCCAGAGGTGACCCTGAAGCCCTCCAGAAGATACTGAGCAGTACCTGGGAGACTTCTGTGGCTGTCCCCATCAGTGGGAGCCCATGGCGAGGAGTGCAGAGGCCACCCAGCAGGACCCAGGACACCTTACTTGGAACAACCTTGGTCCCAAAGGGCTGACACCCTGCCTGGATGAACATTCAGGCCTCTCCCACGTTCTGTCTCCAGGGACCAAATCAAGGACCCCCACCCCCAGAGGCCCAGGGAAAGAGGATGCCAGAGATAGAGGGGGCTTAGAAAGCAGAATGGGAGCCAGCCTCTCCTCCCGCCCCCGCCCCAAGGCTGGCTCTCTCTCAGTATCCATGGTAACCACGTCAACATCTCCCACAGTCGCTAAAGTCCTTCCCCACCCCAAGCAGGGGCTGCAGCATCTGTAGTGCCAAGCTCTGCCTACTGCCTGCAGGCCTTCGGATGGGGGTGTCCTGTATTCCCCAGCTCTCCTCTGCACCCTGTACAACAGGGTGGACGTGATGGGCCACAAGGTGGCTCTCTACCCTGTTCTATCTATGGCTATGGCAGAGAACTAAATGGATCCAAGCCCTAGCATGCACGAGTGGGTGGACAGAGACAGAGCTCTCTCTCCGCGTCCACAGCCTTCCACATGACTCTGAAGGGGACCAGATCTATCCCAGGCCACTGACCCTGACACAGGCATGACCACACAGGCTACCTAAGTCAGACACAGTTCCTGCTTGTATTCCTAGCCCTCAGAAGAAAGCTGAAGCAGGAGGATTGGCTCAAGTTTCAAAGCCAGTCTGGACTACAGTGAGAACTTGTCTCAGAAAATGAGGCTTTTAAAATTAACTACACGGTGCCAAGGTTGGTGGCACACGCCTTTAATCCCAGTACTCAGGAGGCGGGGGATCTGAGTTCAAGGTCAGCCTGGTCTACACAGCAACTTTCAGGACAGCCAGGGCTACAGCCTATCAGGAAAAAATAAGTCATTTAAATTAACTATACAGCAGAACGTAAGTCTAAGGGGTCCCCAGATACCCCCAAATGACATTAAGGTGTCCAGATTCAATGTGGCTCTCCTGGTCCCACAAATGGCTATTATAAGGTGAGTTTGGGGCCATGGTAGTCCGTTTCCCATGATGGATGAGTGTCATGCAGGATCAGGAGAAGAACGGAACCCCACGTCCCCAGCACAAGGACTGCCCTAGCTATCCCAAGACCCTCGACTTAACCTCTCTGGCCTCAGTTTCTCTGGCAAGCTAAGTCACCCCTCCCAGCTTAGGGGTGGTTTGCAGCCATTGACAGCTGAACAACAGAAATGTTTCCTGATGTCCTAGGTGTGCATGTGGGGGGGGGGTTTAGATTCCTCTTTTACAGACCCCAAGTTCTGAGAACCAGGAAGAATGCTGGATTGGAAGGTGTGGGTGGTACAGCCTGACTCAGAAAGAAAGGGTCTCTGGCCCAACAGGCTCCTCTTACTCTACTGGCAAACTTACTTGGCATGAGCCAGGATACCCTAGACTCATGTGGCAAAGAGACTAGAGTCTTTCTCCCTCCATCCATCCCTCCCTCGCTCGCTCTCTCTCACCCTTCCTTTGCCTGTAGCCCCCTCAAATGTTCTGTAGAGAGAAATGTGTAGCAATAGCGAATGGGGAGGAGCCCAAGCTCTGTCGTCCATCTCGGCTCTAACATGGGGCAGCCTCTAAGGACAGCGACTGAGGGACAAAGTAAGAGGAGGACCATCTATGCCCACCCTCCGGCTTAGCGGTTGCCAAAGATGGCGCCTCCAACCCGTACCTGCCCTCAATATGCCTGGTGGCCACCCACACAGCTATGGAGGCTGTCCTAAACGCTCTCAGTGTGGCCATCATGCGAGCCCCTGGACCAAGCTCTCTTTGGGTGCCTTGTTGTTCACGGAAACGGTAAAAGTGGAGTAGTCTGTATCTTTTATACTGACAGGCAGACCAAAAGCAGGTAAGTCAGGGGGGATGACAGAGGCAGGTCGCTCTGTCCCAGGGGGGCCTCAGAGCTTTTGACTATACCACACATAGAGGGATAACTTCTCAGATAAAACCTTGGGGTAACCAATAGAGAAAGCAGCCAAAACCTGGCAAAAGGTTCCCTACCCAATCCCGAGGCACTGGGCTTCTCAGAGACCTTGATGTGTCTAAGTCTAGCTGTCCGCCCTGGACTTCCAGCAGATGTGTCACGGGTGTGTGGAGGGCGCAAACACAGGGGGTGGGGAGGGGAGTCGTGGAAATTTCAATCCCACTGGATTGAAGATTCAAACCCTAATCCAGGTCCAGGACATGGCTTCTCTCCACTACATTCAAGTACACAGAATGGGGGGAAAAAAAGGTTGGGGGCAGCCACCCTCTCCCCACCGCCAACCTCTCGTTCAGGCCAGAGGCTTCGCCACCCTCCGGAGGGAATCCGAGAGGCTACCCTGGAGCGGTGACCGGGTTCCACCCAGCCCCTTCACAGATAAGGAAACTGAGGCTGGGGGAGGGTTGAGGAAGAACTACGGAACCGGATGTTCTGACCACCCAGCGCAAGAGACCATGAGCGCAGAGAAACAGGATAGGAACACGAATCAGAACTGAAGGGGTAGAGAGCTGAGGGCCACGATCGCGCGTGGCGAACTCGCCGTGCCCGGGTGGATCCCGAACGGCCCGCAGTCACGGGAGCTTCGGCCACCAGGACCGCCCTCCGCGCGCCGGCCGACCGCGTGGCCGCCACGCCCCCCGCGCGCGCCCCACCCACCAAGTCCACGCCCTCCCGGGCGGCGGGGCGGCGGAGGCCCGGGCGCGCCCCCCTCCCCGCCCCCCACGAGCCACGCAGTTTCGGGGTCCCCAGTGGGATGGGGGGAGGGGGTCCCCGAGACCTCTCCATCGCGCCCCTGCACCCCACGGCTGCTAAAAACGAGGGACTTACCTGTGTGCGTCCGCAGGTGTGACTTGAGGTGCGAAGACTTGTAATAGGCTTTGGCGCAGCCCGGGAAGGGACACCGGTGGCTCTTGGCGGCGCCGGGGGCGCGGCCCGAAGAAGGAGACGAAGCGGCCGAGGAGGAGGAGGCCGGTGAGGTGCCCCCCGCGGTGCTGGCTGCGGTGGCGCCTCCCGGCCCGCCTCGCAGATCCGCCAAGATGCTGGCGGCCAGCAGGTGGGGCGCAGCGGTGGCGCCTCCCGGCCCCGGAGCGGTGGCTGGCGGTGGCGGTGCCCCAGGGGTCCCGGGCGGCGTGGCCTCGCGGCGCGTGGCGCGCACATCCAGGCCGGCAGCGGGGCCCGCGCCCTCGGGGCCGGGTCGCCCGCGATGCACCACGGCTCCCGAGGAGATGGCCATGAGCACGTCGGCGGCGAAGTAATCCACGCACGCCACAGCCGCCGACATGCCGGGCAGGGGCGCGCGGGCGCGGGATCGGCGGCGGGAGAGAAGCGGAGGCGGCGGGAGCTGCGCCCGTCCGGCCGGCGGCGGCTGCTGGAGTGCGGGAGGCGGAGGAGGAGGGAAGAGAGGAGGAGGCCCCGGCGCGCCGCCGCCGCCGCCCGCGCTCAGCCCCGCCCCGCCCCGCCTGACGCGCCCTGACGCACCGGAGCCCGCGGGGGCGGCCGCGGACCGCCCCGCCCGGAGGACGCCCCCTCGGGGCTCAGTGGCCACGCCCTCTCCCCACCGCGGCCACGCCCCCTCCCGCCGCGCCCTCCGCCGTCCGGATGGTCGCGCGCCATCGCGGATGGGCGGAGCTCACTCCGCCAGCCGCGGGTCCTCTCCCACTTCCGAGCCTCGTGTGCCAGCGGAGCGCACCCTCTTTACGAAAGAACAAGCCAAACGGAGAGAGCCCCTCCCCTCGGCCTGGCACGCGCGGCCGCCACCGGCGCACTAGCCGGATCGCCACCTCCCCAAACGCTGGGGGTTACGCCCACCTCCGCGACACGCCCACACGCCGCACCCCGGCCTCGGGGGCCCCGCCTCCTGCCCTGTGCTCGCCACGCCCCCTCCGGCGGCGTGCTCCATCTCCTCCCGGTCGCGCCCACCGCGCTCTGGCGGGTGCGCAGTCGCCGGGAACCCTCCCCTTTCCAACCACCCCCCGCCCCCGCCGCACACTCAGATCCTGGGGCGCGCCCCTGTCCGCGGAGAGGGGGCTGGGATCCGCACGTGGCCAGGGTGGGGGTGCGGAAGCTCGCTGCCCCGCCCCCGGGCCACGTGCGCGACCCTCCCCCTCCTTCCTTGCCCTGGCGCCGGGCTGTAACTCGGCAGTCCTGACTTCCCATAACTGGGTTCCCCGATGCCGCGCTGGGCTTGGGGACGAAAGTATCCTGGAGGTAGGACACGGGGACGCGGGGTACCCACCACCCCGCCTGGCTGAGCGAGTCTGGATGGAGTGCGTCTTTGCGCACCAGGATCCAGGAATCACTAGGCCTGTGGATAACCGGGACGGCAAAAGTGAGCGGCGGTGCCGTGGAAAGGCCTGGCTCGGCCGCCTATGCCAAGCTGGGAACGCCGAGATCTGGGCGACCCTCCCCTGGCTCGGCCGGGCCCCTGCCGATAAGTGATTGGAAACTCCACGACCGCTGCCCCCTGGAAGCCCCGGGCGCCGGGTGCGCGGAAGTAGGCGAGCAGGCTCCCGCCCCTTCCTAACTCCCGCCGGGTTGCGGAGGCCGTGCAGTGGCCCGCGCGGCCTCCAGGGGGCGAAGCGCCCCAGCCGACCGCAGTGTCAACCCCAACTCCTCCATCTTCGTGTTTGTCCCCCGGCGCAGGCTAGACGGTGGCGGAGCTCCCTACCCTGGGTGTCGTCTCTGCCTTTCCTACCTGCACCCCAGGCTGACCTGGTCGGGCTCCACCTCTCTGCCGTCGAGTTGGCCGTGTACCCTTAGGCCCCGCTGTACTTTGGGGTGACACCCTGTGTCCCTTAACGGCAGAAGCTGCATCCTCTGGGGACCCCAGAGATACTCTGGATGGGCAGGCCACACCCACCACTTTCCCCCCAGGCTTCCTCTCCAACAACCAGAACCACGGCGGTCCTGGCCCGGCTTCCTGCCTTCCTGCGGGAATCCGTTGCCTGCCCTCTGAACTGCACCCTCTGCGTCCCTACACACAGCTGGAGAGGCGCCGCGTACGCTCCCTTCTGGGAAGGGCAGCCCTAGGCTCACCATGTCACACCTACTAAGCGCCCTGGGGGCTGTAAGCCGGGCTGGTTGTACAGCCACCAGGTGGCGCCACAACATACCCCGACCGTATCCCTAGACCTCAGTGGTGTTCCCAGGGCTTCAGGCTGTGAGAGCCATCTGGGCCATGCCTGCCACTGCACAGAGCGGCCCCCACGCGGGTACCCGTGAACCGTGGCGGCTTATCCTCGTTAGGCCAGCCGCAGCCACATGCAAGCTGTGTAACAACGGAGCCCGCTGCTGACCCGGGACGGACCTAAGGAACAGTCGCCCTACCTTACCAACGGTACAGTCAAAACTGAAACCCTGCGCACACAGGTCTGCCTCGGAGGATTCTGGGAAAATAAACACTTGCTCCCACAAGGCAAAACAAGTGAGTCGCTCTCTGTGATAGTGTCCCTGGGGCTCAGGCACAGGCCCTTGCTAGTCCCGTGGGTGAGTTGTTTTGTCTTGTTTCTATTTTCGGACAGGATTGGGGTAGAACAGGTCTGAGCTACCCTGACTACCCAACATTTGGCTACAGCCCTGGCTGTCCAGGAACTTTGTAGATCAAGTTGTCCTCAAACGCACAAGAGAACCGCTCACCTCACCTTCTAAGTGCTGCTGTTCAAGGTGTGGCCACCACCCAGGCCCCGGAGGTGAACCCCTAAGGGCCCTGTTGAGAGCTCTCTCTGAGGGACAGGACTCAAGCGCAGGGAGCCTGAGAGCAAGTGGAGCCACTCTGGGGTTTCAAAGAGAAGCCGGGGACCCCAGGGACCTGTTGCCTCCCTGAGACTTAACGGTGTGCCTGTTCTGACCTTTGCCCTGGGGAGGGCCACACAGACCTGGTCAGGTGGGACAGAGATGACAGGCCTGTGTCCCTGGTATCCCAAGCCACGTGGCTGAGGATGGTTGACACCGAATGCTCCAGAGGCCAGCCAGGCTTCGGCTGTTTTTCTTGGGGACAGGGACTCTAAGCTTCAGTGATGGCAGCATCCAACACAAACAGAAGCGGGGCCAGGGTGCACGGGCCATGGTTTAATTATCTGAGCATGCAGTGTACACCTGTTTACTAGCACTCCAAGGTGGAGGCAGGAAGAGCAGATCAGGATCATACTTGGCTACCGTAGTGAGTTGCAAAGCTGGCACAAACCTGTAATCCCAGCAGGCGGAGGCAGGCAGATCTCTCTCGAGTTTGAGGCCAGCCTGGTCTACAGAGTGAGTTCCAGGACGGCCAGGGCTACACCGAGAGACCCTGTTTCAAACAAACAAGCAAAAACAAAAAAGCCAATAAATAACCAAACAAATAAACAAACCACAAAGTCATCAGGGAATGGTGGCACATCCTTTTAATGCCTGCTTTTCGCAGGCAGAAGCAGCCAGGTTGTTGTGAGTTCAAGGCTAGCCTGGGTGAGATACATGAACAGACCCTGTTTCAGAAAACAACAAAAAAAAGGGTAGGGCGGGGCATGATTAGAACACTGGCTACTTTCTATTTCATTTTTTACTTTTTCTTTTTAGTTTGTTTTATTTTGAGACAGGGTGTTTCTATGTAGCCTTGGCTGTCCTCCAGCTCACAGAGCTCCAGAACACTGCGGCTCCTCTTACAGAGGATCCGAGTTCAGTTCCCAGCTCTATGTGGAGCAGCTCACAGCCACCCGCACCTCCAGCTCCAGGAACCGAGACCCTTTTCTTGCCTCCCTGGGCACCTGCACTCTAGTGGTTTAGAGACCAACCTATAGGCCACTCACACACTTAATTTTTTTTTTTTAAACTGACAAATTTAAGTTTGTCAGCAGACAAAAGGGTAACCTCCTTACTGTTTTATGTACCTGTGTGTGTGCAGAAGCACTGAGAGTCCCTGGAGTGACAGGCCGTTGTGAGCTTGCTGTGGGTGCTTGGAACTGAGCTGGGTCCTCAGCCAAGAGCAGAAAGTGCTCTTAACCACTGGGCTGTCTCCCCGGCCCCCAATTTCCTTAATATATGAAACACTTTAGCAAAACAAACTGGGTGGAAAGAGGCCACGAAGCACAGATGATTTAAATATACATCTTTATAATAAATGTACATTTACCCAACTTTGAAATGACCGAGAGTGACAGAGACGATTAGAAAACAGAGGAAGCATTTCAAAAGTTGGCTGGAGCAGGGCCAGCCACATGGCTCTGTAAAGACACTTGCCTCCAAGCCTGACAACCTGAATTCAGTCCCAGAGAGAGAGCTGACTCCTGACCCTTGGCCTCTGACCTGTGCACAGACACGTTCTTGTTGGTTTGGGTTGTTCCAGAGTTTCTATGTGTGGCCCTGGCTGTAGACCAGGCTGGCCTCAAATCCAAAGAGATTCACCTGCCTCTGCCTCCCAAGTGCTGGGATTAAACGCACACAGACACCATGCCTGCCTGTTTGTTTTTAATTTGCTATAGCTGACACCTGGTTCATGTCAGTCATTCAGCAATGGGAAGGCTTAAGGCCTTAGGATTGCCTCGAGTTGGAGGGCAGCCTGGGTTAGTGAGTTTCAGTCCAGCAGGCTCAGAGACAGAGTGAGACCTTGTCTTACAGAAACAAAACGGCAAACATGTGGGCTGTGTATGAGCGAGCAGAGCTCTCACCCGGCGCGCACTGCACCCAGGTTCCGGCCCCAGCAGCACAAAAGCCAGATGGGCAACTCAGGATCAGCTCAGGATGACGGCGAGCTACAGAGCCAGACCCTGTCTCAAAAAGGAGACAGAGGGCTGGGGCTGCAGCGCAGTGAGCAGAGTGCTGGCCTTCTGTGCAAGGAGCCCTGGCTTCCAGGCCTAGCATCCAGGAAACCAGATTTTTGGGGCAGCAACAGCTGGGCTCGGGGAGAGGGTTGGGGGAAGATCATTTCTTCTAAGTATTCAAACACAGCTTTGCTGTTTGGACGCTGCCCCCATCCTCCACCTCCCATTTAGCTTTTGAGACAAAGTCTCACTCTGTGTCCTAGGCAGTAGTAAATACTGGGAGCAATCCTCCTGCCTCAGCCTCCCAACTGCAGGAGGACCTGCTAGGAGAGACTTACCCCTCCTTACCATCTACATCCTGGGCCTGTGTGCTTTTCTTCCTTCCTGCACCAAGATCCGCCTGCGACAGCTTGGGCTTTGAAGTTCAGCACTGGGGGAAAGGGCGGTGCTGGGGAACAGTGGGCAGGGCTCAGGATGGGACAGGAGGGGGTTGGGGTGGGGAAACCTACAGCAGGTAGTCAGGATGGGAGCTCCAGGCCAGGCAGTGGGACTGTGGACAGGGATCTAGTGAGGGCCTCCTCGCAACTTGTGCAAAGGTCCTGAGGCCAGAGAAGAGTGGGCACAGGATCAGGAATGCCCCAACTTGGTGAAGCTTTCAGAAGCCATTGGCGTGGGGGCCAGCGAAAGCACTTCCTAGCTTATGGAGTCACTTCTGTCCTCAGGTGCTATGGCCAGGTCCCCACACACCACCCACTCTTGAAGTGACCTTGCAGCATCAGGAGTTGGCTCAGAGTGCCGACTTCCCTGCAGATAGGCCCCCCTTGCCCTCAGGACCCTGCGGCTAACGGAAACAGCACACGGCTGAACTCCACAGAACACACCACCCTAGGTCACCTGCGGTCCTGGGGAGACCTCTGCTCCCAGCTGGCACAGTGCAGACCTGGCCCCAGCTTCGGGGTCCGCTGGGCCTGGGAGCCCATGCCCTCTGCACAGTGGGGACCAGGACTCCTGCAGAGCAAGGTGCTGCCCTGACCCCTGGGTGCAGGCCCAGGCAGGGAGGACCTGAGGTCTTCCTCACACGGCCCCCACCCACCGGGTCTCGGCGACCTCCCAACCCTAGGAAGGCGCACAGGAGCCATGAAGAAGCCAAGGCAACCCTAAAATCTTAAACCTTTAATTACTTTCCCTCTTTCCTTCTCTTTTCTTCCACGAGGAGAGAAGAGGGACCTCTGTCACCTGCACATGGCTCGGGGCCCCTTAGGGTGGCTGAGCAGGGTCCTGGGCGCCGGGTCACATGCAGCCCCGGCAGGAGGCCCGTATACTGCTGAGGTCCCTGTGGCGTGGCTTGGCTAGGTGCGCTGGCTGGGCAGCTCCTGGGAGATGAAGCGGCGCAGGCGCTCCAGGTATTGACTGTACAGCTCAATGTCGTTGTGCCCGGCGCCCTCCACCCACAGCGGCTCCACGGCCTTCGGGCAGCGCTCATACAGTGCCAGCCCGTGGGAAAAGTCGATCACCTCGTCCTCCGTACCGTGGATGATGAGCACCGGTGACGTGATCTTCGACACCTTCTCGATGCTGAGGGAGAAGTCGGTCAGGCTGGGGACCCAACCCAACCCAACCCGCCCCAGCCCCGCCCCCATGCTCACTTTGGGAACGCATCGAAGCAGTAGGTCTTCTTGGTGTCAGGGAAGGCCACCCGCATGCCGGAGGTGAGAGGCGAGTGCAGGACCACCGCAGCACACTCGTAGCGCGACGCCAGGTCCACCGTGGGCACCGTGCCAATGCTCTGGCCATACAGGATGATGCTGTCCGGGCTGATGCCGTACCTGACCAGCAGCAGGCTCAGGGTCAGCAGGTCTGCAGGTGAGTGGCTCCCAGGGCCTGCACGGCAGCGGCTCCCTGGCCTTTCCCTCAGTCCCTCCCACGGGGGAGTCAGGACGATAGTGCCTGACTGAGGCAGACTGTGGACTAAGACCCCATGTCAACAGTCCCTGCTCCCTCCTGACCCCAGAGAGGAGGCAGGCTGACTTCCCACGCTGCCTCCCCCCAGCCTGGGTCTTTGGGAATTTAGGAAACTGTGTCCCCGCTGGCTTGGCCCAGTTTAGGGGCCCCTGAGTCCCTCCTGCCAATCAGAAGCTTATACAACATAGGCAAAGTCCCCGCTCAGGTCCTGGGAGCTCAGGTCCTCGGAGCCGGTCCATTCCCAGCCCCCACCCCGGCCCCGTAGGTCCATGTGGCCACTCCCCCTGGCTGAGCTGGCCTGGTGCTGCCCCTGCCGTGGTTCCCGCCTGTCTCAGGCAAGCCGCCACAGGGTGCTCTCTGATCCCAGGTAGGAGCTGGGTCACCTAAAGGCAACCCACACCTCCTGTGTGCTGACCAAGACCTACCAGCTCTGTCTGCTCAGCACTCGCCTCGGCTCAGGCCTAAGCCCCTCCCGCCATGGGGGTGGCCCCTTCAGGAGAGGCACCCCCACCTCTCCTGAGGCTTAGCTTGGTGTTGAGGGAGGTCAGTGCCATGGTAGGACAAATGGACAGAGCTCAGCATATGCAGCAGTGAGTCTCCAGCCCGGGGCAAGGCACCTGTGGCACAGGGGAAGGGGCGCTCAGGTCCCCAGCAGCAGCACCAGTAGTAGCAGGGGACCCAGCCCAGTGGGACCAGGCACTTCTCCAGAGCTGTCCAGTTCCAGCACTACATGGGGGCCTCACAGGGGTGAGGGTCCTACGGGCCCCCGCATGGACCCTGCTCTGAGTGCACAGAAGGGGCCCCTGTAAGGTGGGGTGACCAGGAAGGCCAAGTCTGACAGAGGAGCCCCAAGACTAAGGGTCTGGAAGACAGGCTGGGGCCGGGACCTGCTGATTGCCACCACCCGGGTAGCCTCCAGCACAGCTTGTTGGCCCTATAACCACCTGCCCCGGAGCAAGTTCACCTGAGGGCACAGAGTCCTAGGGTCCCCTGGCCCTTGGCTACCAACCACCTGCTCCCAAGTCCCTCAACGGGTATCTCTTAGACTCAGTGTCCTCTGTTCACCCTCAGACCTTTTCCTGTGGACAGCAAGGACAGCTGGTGCCCGTCGTCCCCCCACCACCACCACAGGTGGCTTTCCCTGCAGCCCCACCGGCCACTGGCACTCCCCCACCTCCGCCCCAAGAAGCCGGAGCCCTCACCTGGTGCGCAGGGCCTGCCAGGCAGCATCAATGTCCGCATAGAGGTTCTTCTCCGAGGGCCGGCCAGAGCTGATGCCGTAGCCGGAGTAGTCATAAGAGAAGATGTTGCAGCCGATGCGCGTGCCCAGGCCCACGTAGAAGCTGCACATCTGGCCCAGGTCCACCGCATTGCCGTGCGAGAAGAGCACCGTGTACCTGGCGGGGCAGGTGACGGGCATGGGCACAGGCTGGCCACCCACCCTGGCAGCCAGCAGCACCCACTGTCTCTACCTGGAACTGCATTGCTGGGGCCGGGGTGCTGGCTGGGGTCACGCAGAGGACCTGCTGGCCAGGGGCCATCCCAGTGGTGGCATCACAGCCCCATGTACGGGAACCGCCCAAAGAAAGCGCCTGCTCCTGCAGGCCTCCATGAGTGGTTCCAGCGCTGGAGGGGGGACCCAGCCCATCCCTGGCCACCAGCAAACTTTTTTTTTTCCTTCAATACAGGGTTTCTCTGTGTAGCCTTGGTTGTCCTGGACTTGCTTTGTAGACCAGGCTGGCCTTGAACTCACAGAGATCCACCTGCCTCTGCCTCCCAGAGTGCTGGGTTCACAGGCCTGTGACCACACCCGGTACCAGCAAACTCCTAAGGTCCATCCTGTTTTCAGTTGACCTCTGGCCAACCCGGACAGGCCTGTGACAAAGCGAAACCCTGCCCAGGCGGTTTCCTGAAGCACCTGTCTGACTCCTAAGAAAAAGGCTCGCCCTTTGGACCCCAGGCTCCACTTGGCAAAGCTGTGGCTGCCTCTACCTCACCCTCTGGCAAGGAACTGAAATCGGGGTCTCCTGCCCTTTTCAAGAGGGGTGAGGTGGGCTGGAACACAGGGCAGTGCAGTACCCATGCACCCCTGCGGTGAGGCCTGGTGGGAGGGCCCAGCTCACCTGGCACCCGGTACGCAGCGCACATACATGCAGGCGATGCGGTTGGCGCGCGCGCTCTTGGTCACGAAGACCTCGATGGTGTCCAGCTCACGCTGGCCGTACTGGAAGTCAGCACGCTCCGTCAGGTGGATCTTCCAGCGTCCAGGGGTGGCCGCTGAGGTCCGCAGGGGACCCGAGGGGGCAGCGCCGGCCCCGCCGGGCCCCGGCTCGGGTTCAGGTACCAGAGAATAGGTGGGCTCGGGAGGCAGGAAGGCGAGCTTGGCGGCGATGCGGCCCGGGCAGGGAGGGCAGCAGAAGAGGCAGCAGAGCTCGCTCACCGACAGGCCGTTCATGGCGGGCGCCGGGCCCGCGCCGGGCCAGGGGAGGGGCGGGGGTGCTCCGAGAAGCGGGCAGCGGGCGGCCAGGCTCGTGGGCCGCACACCTCAGTCCCGTTAGGAGGCCGCGGACCGGCCCCACCGTGGTCCAAGGTGGGCCTCCGGGAGCCTCGCAGCCACAGGTCTCCATGCCATACAGTGGGACACCCTGCGGGGACACCGAGATGTGGGTTCCCTCCAGGAAGCCCGGGTGGAAGCACGTGCCAGCCTGTGCTGGTCAGGGAGGAAGGCATGTCCCCGCACTTGCGGCCTATCTTGGACCTCTTGGCCTGCCCACAGCCCTAGCTCCTCCGGCAGCCTCTCCTGAGCCTCTGATCCACAGCTCCTGCTATGTATGCTCCCCGGAACCCCCAGGCCTACGCCCAGACCCTTCTGCCCGCCCCAGTGTCTCTCCCAGTCCTTGAAGGAGTTATCCTCCAGAACAGAAAACCAAGGCAGCTCCAGGTCTCCGCCCAACCTCCAACAGTTTTCCTGTGCAGCCTTGGCTGTCCTGGTCTCACTTTGTAGACTAGGCTGGCCTCGGACTCACAGAGATCTACCTGCCTCTGCCACCCTGAGTGCTGGGAGACCCAAAGGCTCATAGGCTCCCAGGCAGGGGAGTGGGGGAGGGGTGAGCCACGGGGCCTTGGAACACAGAGAAAGAGCCCAGGGGAGGAAACAGACACAAAGACGAGGAACAAGGACAGGATGCATGCCAGACATAGGGCCCCATTGGCTGGGACAATGGGTTGTCCTGTGCTTGGGGCCAGGCTGGTCTCCCTGGAGTCAGGGCAGCTGGGGCTTCCTGCCGCTGCAACCTCAGGGTTCAGTCACCCAACCTCCCAGGTCTTGGTTCCTTGCTTGCCTCGTGGAGGCAGCAAACTACAGAAGGTAAGTTAAGTGGCAGAAAGGGGCTTGGCTCTAATGGAAACTCAAATGCTCCATTTGTAGGACACCCTGAAATGTGTTCAACACCAGAGCCACTACCATTGTGTACAGGGCTGCCCAATGGACAGACAGACAGACATTTCCAGGAAAGCTCCCCACCAACCATGCCTGCTGTCTCTCACAGCTCAATTTTAACAGGCTATCTATGAACACCTGGGGTTTCGGCCGCAGCATAGAAATCCACAGGGACAGAGGACATGGGTAACGAGCAAGGGGAGACCCACGACACAGACACATCTCTGATCCCCATGGACCTGAGAGGTGAGGCCAGGGGCTAGATAAACCAATGTCCCGGTCCACAATACAGGGGCACAGCCAGAGCAGGGAAAAAGACAGTGTCATGAAGTCCACAGCTCCCAGGTGGCAATTCTCAGAGGCAGGTGACCCTGTCTCCAAGAGACACCAGGCCAAATCTGTAACCGGGAGCACTCCAGGCACAGAGTGGGTGGGGACCAGGGACTCTATCCAGGACCCCAAGTAACCCAGAACAGCCTATCAGGGAATGATCCTGCCCCAAACGTCCACAAGGTCAATGTTTAGAGGTAACAGCTTTATGGCCCAGGCCTCCTCTTGATGACAGAGGGCATGGAGGAATCTGTAGTGAGAGAGAACCCCTGACCCCACTGGAGAAGAACGAGGTGGACGAGGCCTACAACCCTACAACCGAAGCTTCCCTCCAGGACACTCCCACAAATCCTTGGGCTGGCTGGGTCCATCCACCAGCCCCACCGGAACCTTTGCCCTGCTGCACTCTAGCCTCCATGCCTGGGTCACACACGTCTCAACCACCATCATCCCATGCCAAGCTCTTCCCCCGCTCGCCACAGCCCACACCCATAGGACCTCCCTTGTAGGGGTGTCCTCCTTCCTCCCCACACCAACCACACCCCTAGGCACAGGTTGTCCGCTGAGCAATCCCTGCTGCCTCGAGGGTCTTGCTTTCTAGACAAGTCCAACAAAGGAGGCCTCCGTTTCCCTCCTAGGCCAGTGACCTCTGGGTCCTCCACATAGTATTCCTGATTCTGAATCCTTCTGCATTTCTTCCACAGTTAACCAGATCTCCAGCCTACAACGAGAAACTCCATGTGGGCAGGGCCAGTAAGACCAGTAAATACCCTCTTTCACTCAGCAACCACATGCCGAGCAGCCGGAGAAAATGAAGCTATAGGAAAACGACATAAGCCTCCGGGACAGACAGCTTGTGGGACCTCGTGTTACAGATGGGTGCTACTGTGTAGTGTAAGCCAAGAGCTTTTCACTCACCGCCACTGAAAAGCCCAAGCATTATGACCACAAACCTAAAACCAGGCCCTGGTGTTAAAAGTAGCCAGGGCTCTGGGACGACCTACATATGACTGCCTGCACTGGCATGCCTCACCCAGCCAGTCAGAGCAGGGAGGCAACCCTCCCTGGGAACTGAAGGGTGCAAAGAATGCAGTAGGTTGAGGAAGATGGCTCGGCTTGCTACCAGATCTGAAGAGCAGCTGATCAGGGGACCCCCATGGTAGGAGAAGACTGACTAAAGAGTGCCGGCCTCTGGCCCCTGCGTGGGTGCACACATGTTAAAAAAAAAAAAAAAAAAAAAGGAAATAGCTAAGTGACTGAGGACGAGAGATAAGCCCGGGCGGCGAGAGAGGATTGGAAAAACTGCAAGAGGGGCTCTCAGGGGAGCGGGCCAGCTCTAGCTGCACCCTTGGGTTCTGTTGCAACGTGAGGACTTCATCGTGGGGGTGATGAGGAACCATGAAGGAGCCCCGGGCTGCATAAGGGAAGCCTGCTGTGGGGCCCCAACTGGCAGGAAGACGCCAGACATGAAGCACAAGTGGCCGGCGAGTGTCAGGAGATGGAAGCGGAGGTGGTGTGGGATCGGGGCAGGTTCCGGAGCTGGCTCCGGGTCTGCGGCTGGGCCCGGGCGTTCCTTGGAGCAGAGCCGCATCCTGAGGAGGTTAGGCGATTGCGCCAGGGTCGCTGCCCGGGGAGATGGGGACGGCAGGGACAGGGTGGGTGCGCTGGTCCCGCAGCTCTCCCCGGAGGGCGCAGGGCCACGCTCGACTCGGCCCCGCTCCGCAAACAGCCGCAGCCCGCGCGCGCCCGCCCGCACTCACCGCCGCCCGCGCCCGCCGGCCCCGGGGCCGCACTCCATGGCTCCCGGCCAACCGCCCGTGCGTCCGTCCGTCTGTCCCTGGGGACCCGGGCCGGGCCTCCTGCGCCGCCACCACCGCAGCTCCGCCGCGGGCGGAAGTGAGCTTCGTTCTAGCACCACCCCGGAAGTGATGCGAGGGGACTGCGCAGGCTAAGCCCCCCCCCCCCCCCAGGGTGTTTGGGGGCGGGGCAAAGCGACGGAGAAGCCGATTGGGTGGGTTGTTGTGAGGGCGTTGCATGTGCCGGAGGTGGGGCCACGGTGGAGGGAGGGCGGGGCCTGGTTTGTGGGCGGGGCTGTCCTGGGGGCGGGTCCCCAGTAGACGTGAAGGTGGGTGATCTGGAGGGGCTTGGTTGGGTACAGGGTGAAGAGACGCAGGGTGGTCTGGACGCCCGGCCTGAGCCAAACCTAGGGCGGTGGGCGGAGTCTGCCTTCCAGTTGGTTTTTAAAATTATTCCTGCCTTCCCCCTCTCCCATCCCCCACCCCCTCATCACCACATTCCTGGAAGAGGCGATAGAGAAAATGGATCTAAGTGTCTCAGGACAGGCTCCGAGGAGGTGATTCAACGGTTAAGAACACTGTCTGCTCTTACAAAGAACCAGGGATCGGTTCCCAGCACCCACTCACATCCCTCTGCAACGTCAGGTCCAGGGGATCCTCCACTATCTTTGAAGGCACGCGAAAAGACGAGAGAATACACACAGGCAAAACACCTCTGCATTAAAAAATAAGACGCCAAGCCAAGCGGTGGTGGTTCACACCTTTAGTCCCAGCACTTGAGAGGCAAAGGCCAGCCTGGTCTACAGAGAGACTTCCAGGACAGCCAAGACTACACAGAGAAACCCTGCCTCAAAAAAAAAGGGGGGTGGGAGAGAGCCCCCTTCCCTTCCCGATTTGATTTGATTTGTTTTTCCATGCATATACGTTACTTGCGCCACGGAGCTCCTGCGGCGGTCAGGAAACAGCTTGTGGGAATCGATTCTGTTGCTCCACTGAGTGAGTCCCAGAGACTGAACTCAGCTACTCAGTCTTAACGGCTAGAGCCTTTTCCACCCTGAGCCATCTCACTGGCCCTCTTCTTGTGTGTGTTCTTCTTCCTCTATATGCGTGTGGGTTTTCACTGCATGCATGTACGTGTGCCCGGTGTGGAGGAGAAGAAGGTGCTGAATCCCTGAAACTAGAGTCAGGACAGTTGGGATGAGCCGCTGTGTGGGTTCCTGAGCGAGGTCCTCCGCGAGAGCAGTAAGTGCATTCTGTTATTGTTTTGGGTCTTTTAGTTTTTATTTTTGTTTTTTAATCAATTAATTAATTTGGTGTCTTAGTTTTTCAAGACAGAGTCTTTCTGTGTAGCTTGGGCTGTCTTGGAGCTCATTCTGTAAACCTAGCTGCCTTGAACTCACCACCGGCCTCTGCCTGAGTGCCGGGATGAAAAGCATACACCTTTAATTACACCCAGCTGCTGTCAATGCTCTCAGGCCCTGAGCCAGCCTCTTTGGATCAGGCCAGTCTAGAACTCCTTATGTGGCAAGGCTGGGCCCTCAAACTCAGCAATTCTCCTGCCCCAACTGCCAGAATGCCAGACTGACAGACGTGAACTACCATGCCCAGCTGATTAAAGTTCTTAACCTCAAGTGACCCAAAGTGGCACTGAGCTCACGACCGGCCCCTGACCTGTGCTAGACCATGCGCTCAGTTTCCCTGCACTCCATGACTGCATCTTCATTCCTTCCGCCGCCACCCCACACCCAATCTCTCTTGAGACAAGAGTCTTACGCAGCCCAAGCTGCCTTGCTTTTGACACATGATAAGGAGTGAAAGCTGCATGGACTCCTGCTCCGCCTGCCTCGGCCTCCCGACAGTGGCTGACAACAGGACTGCATCACCAAGTCAGATCTTGGAGAGCACTAACCCGGGGGCTGCGCCACACCAGGACTCTGGCACCTGAGCACATCTAGTACCTCTGCAGTCAGTTTTGGCCAGTTGGTGGGTGGATTGAGATGGGGTCTCACTCTGTAGCCTTGGCCGGCCACCAATTCACAGAGGCCTCTTGCTCCTGCCTTCACCACTGCCGGACTCTTGCTTGTTTCTAGAGACAAGGTGTCTCCCTGTAGACAAAGGTGGCCTAGAGTGCTGGGATCCCAAGCACTTAGCTGCACAACAGCCTCATCTGGAACTCTACTAAAATACATAGTGTGCCAGGCAGTGGTGGCGAAGGCCTTTAACCCCAGCACACCGGAGGTAGAGGCAGGCGCGTCTCTGTGAGTTCGAGGCCAGCCTGGTCTACAGCGAGAGTTTAAGGACAGCCAAGAGCTACACAGAGAGACCCTGTCTTGAAAAACCAAAAGAGAAAGAGAGAGAGAGAGAGAATATAAAGTGCATGAGTCAGCAAAATGGCTCAATGGGAAAGGCACTTACCGACAAGCCTGCAGCCCTGAGTTCAATCTCTGTGTGGACAGAAGGGAAAAAAACTTACTCTGGCAGATTGTGCTGTAATCACCCACACCACGGCATGTGTGTATACATGTACAAAAGAAAGAATACACTGGGCCAGTGATATGGCTCCGTGGGAAAAAAAAAAATGCAAAAGCCCACAACATTCCGGGAAGACTAAAGACCTGATGTCCATGCTCAGACCTGAGACAGAGGAAGGAGAGAAGCGACTCCCACCAGTTACCCTCTGACCTCCCTGCGTGCACCTGCGGACATGCACACGCATGCACAACATTCAATGAGGAAGTAAATACGTGTAAGTGAATAAAATAATGGGGACCAGTGGGGTGTGAGTCGAGACACAGGGCTGAGAAACTGCGTTCACGGGACATGTAAAAGGAACTTTTATTATCCTGTTTCAAGTGTTGTCTCAGAGGTGACTGCCTCTGTCTGCTAACCTGGCCTACGCCTGGAAGCTTCCGGCCTCCGTACAATCTAAAGGCCTACAATGTTTTCAACCTCTGCGGCTTAACATGCTTAACATGCTTAACATGCTCACGCCTTCTTGTTCTTTTTGAGCTCTGGACTGGCTGGTTCAAGTCAGCTGTTCTGGCTCAAACTTTTCTCCCAGCTAACTTGTTCAGTCTGGCTTTTCTCGGCCTCTTAATCACTCTGCTTGGCCTCAAACTAACTCCAGCAATTATTTCTACTCTTCTGGCTCCTTCTCATTCTTTGGTTCATTAGGTCTTCACCCATGTTTAGCTTGCTCTCTCATTCAATCTCTTTCTGTAAAACTCTCCCAATAAAACTGCCCCCCCCTCATTCTCTGCATTGCCCCTTAAGTCACTTCCTTTCCTCTCTCTTCTCCTGAGAGTTGGTCATATCCTATTCTGTCAAGTCTTTCTCTGGTTCATCACTTTTTCTGCCACTCAAACACCACTTTCAAACATGGGTGTTTCCTTCTATAAACTTACTTTACCTTCATTATTTGGGAATAAAGACATGTACCACAATGCCTGGACCTAAGCTTTCTTAACCTGAAACTTGCTCTATACCAGGCTGGCCTTGAACTCAGATCTGCTCCCCTCTGTCTCCTGGACACAGATCACACAGACCTAGAAGGTCTTCGGATCTTGCCAGAACAGCCCTGTTCTGAGTTAAAATGCCTCTATACCAACATGCTGGAGGACAGGAAGGACTCCAGAGATTTTCTTAATGCCCATCCCATACACATATACTGAATGAATAAATATGATAAAATGTAAAAATAAATACTCCATTGGATCAAAAGTTCTGGTGCCTGTGCTTGTTCAGTGCACGCGCGCGCATGTTTGTGTGTGTGTGTGTGTGTGTGTGTGTGTGTGTGTGTGTTTGTGTGTGTGTGTGTGTGTGTGTGTGTGTTTGTGTGTGTGTGTGTTTGTGTGTGTGTGACTTAGATAGGGTTTCTCTGTGCAGCCCTGGCTGTCCTGGGCTCACTTTGTAGACTAGGTTGGCTTTACCGAGATGAAATAAAGAAAAAACGAAACAAGGTTGGCGAGACGCTCAGCAGTCAAGGCTGCTTCTGGGGGACTGTGTTCAGTTCCCAGCACTCGCTGGTACAAGCTGAAACTCCATGTCCCCAGCCGTCTTTGGACTCCCCCTTCTCCATGACCCCATCTCTGAGGCAGGGTTTCTCTGTGTAGTCCTGGCTGTTCTGGAGATCACTCTGTAGATCAGGCTGGCCTCGAATTTGCAGAGACCCGTCTGCCTCTGCCTCCCAAGCACTGGGATTAAAGGTGAGTTGCCAGCACTGCCAGCACCTGGAAGAATTTTTACAAATAAATAAAACTGAAAATGTTTAAAGGCTTTGGGAGTGTGACTCACACAGGTAGACCTTCTTTCTAGAATCCTCAGAAGGGTGTAGTGCGACCTTCCTGGGGATAAGCAATGACCTGTTCACCTCAAACAGGGAAGCAGTCATAGCCCAAAACACAAAAACCACCAAAGTCTAACTCACCGAACCAGGAATTATATTGGAGATTCTTACAAGAGTATGGCTGAGGGACAACTTACAGTAGCAAAAATGACTCAAAGCTCACGCTGGTGTGGGTGACAGCTCAGGAAACCTGGGAACACGGAGCACACAGCACAGCCTGCAGGCGGCTCAACAGGTTGGAAGGTGTCCCTTCCAGGCAGCCAAGCTAGTCTCTCCACCTTTTCTAGGCATTTCTGCTAGTCAGAGGGTGATCCTCAGTGGTCTTTAAGGCTTATATAAGCTTGAGGAGCGAGGGATCCAGTGAATCTGCTCAGTTTCAGAGACTTCCTCAGCTTCATTGCAGGAGCAAATGTCTCCTATCCTCTGACAACATCTGTTGTCTGTCTTTTCACTCTCCTGTGTGTAGACGGCATTTGCTACTTTGTGGCTCCCTTTTTCTTCCGCATGCCTCTACCCTTTTAACTCCCTAACACTGGATAGAAAAAAAAAAAAAAAAGGATAGAGAGGAAACGAGGTATTGTTATGGTTAGACTACTTGCTGCTGATTAGGGGCAATGGGCTCCTTGGGGCAAGTTTGAGCTTCCCCATCAGGAAATCCAATTTCCCCTCCCCCCCCTTAGAGATCTGCCTGCCTCTGCCTTCCCAGCGCTGGGGTTGGTTACATGTGTGCACCACCACACCGGCCTCTTCTTTCTCACATTACTTCTTTGTACATAATTACTTAACAAACTGCAACCAACAACAACCAACCTCCAACCACCAATCTGATAGACTGGCTACCCCATCTATCAGATTCTAGAATTTATACATTTTATGAAGAGGCCCCAGAATTCCAAAGGTCACACATTCCCAGAAACTGTCTGCAGCTGGCAAAACCATGCCTCTAATAGAGCATGAGACAAATCATGGCTGCTAGGGACAATCTGAAGCAGTCCCATATCCCACAACTGGGATTAAAACAAAAAACTATTCTCTCTCTCTCTTTTGGTGTTTTTAGAGACAGGGTTTCTCTGTGTAGCCTTGGCTGTCCTGGACTTATTCTATAGACCACCAGGCTGGCCTCGAACTCACAGAGAGCCGCCTGCCTCTTTTTCCTGAGTGCTGGGCTTAGAGGCATGAATTGCCATGCCCAGTTTACCCAAGATAGGTTTGTTTTATTTTAAAGATTTATGTATTTTGTTATGTATACAATGTCCTGCCTGCATGTACACCTGAATGCCAGAAGAGGGCACCAGATCTCATTACAGAGGTTGTGAGCCACTATGTGGTTGTTGGGAATTGAACTCAGGACCTCTGGAAGAGCAAGCAGTGCTCTTAACCTCTGAGCCGTCTCTCCAGCCCCCAAGATAGGTTTTAATCCCATCTTGGAGTAAAGGAAACTACTATACAACTGAGGGACTGGAGACATAGCTCAGAGTGAAGCGCCTGCCTAGACTCTCCCAGTGAGGGGGAGGGGCATTGCTCCATGGTGAGTGCTTGCATAGCATCTTTTGTTATTCGTTCCTTGGTTCATTCATTCATTTTGGGTTGAGACAGGGTTTCTCTGTGTAGCCTTGGCTGTCCTGGACTTCCTTTGTACACCAGGCTGTCCTCGAACTCACAGAGATCACTCTGCCTCCCCAGTGCTGGGATTACAGGCGTGTGCCACTGTGACCGGCATGTATAGAATCTTTTAAAATGACTTATTTTTTTATGTGCATTGATTTTTACCTGCATATATGTCTATGTGACAGTATTGTATCCCCTAGAACTGAGTTACAGGCAGGTATGGGCTGCCATGTGAGTACTTGTCATTGATCCCAGGTGCACTGGAAAAGCAGTCGGTGCTCTTCACCACCAAGCCGTTCTTTAGTCCTCTTGCATAGCATCCTTTAGAAGACTTTTGTATTTTTATTTTATGCATAAAGGTTTGTCTGCTTATCTATCCGTCTGTGTACCACATGTGAGCCTAGCCAGTGGAGGCCAGTGGAAGCCAGTGGAGGCCAGTGAAGGGCACTGGATTCTTCGAAGCTGCATTTACAGATGGTTGTGGGTGGAGGGTATCAAACCAGAGTTTTCTGGGAAGGCAGTCAGGGTTCCCCATTACTAAGCCATCTCCCCAGACCTGGCTGTAGCATTTTTATGGGCCTGGGATCAGCCAAAAAATATTAAAATAGATGAGTTTTCTGGTGTCCCTGTTTTGGTGTAAACAAAACAGGTTTTCTTTCAGAGTCCCTTCTTCCTGGAAGCCAGACACAGCACCTAAGGCTTCAGCCTTTGTGATGGCCACACGAATCTTTCATTTCTCTATCTTGCAAGTGGCCATAAACCAATCCTGTGGGACCTACTGTGCTCTGATAGCTAGTCACAAGACACTCCTTATTCCAGAAAGGTCCTGGCAGACAGGCCGGGAAGATTGCAAACAGGAAACAACCCAGGCTCTCTGGTGCCAGTTTCCATCACAGCTCAACCAGGCAGTTTGCAGTGTTCGTCAAAGCAATCTCATGAGGTCCCCATGAAATGTCCTGATTGCTGAGCCACAGAGAAAGAACTGCCCTGGCCCCTTACAATGAGTTGTTAGCCAGACAAGGCTACACAGTGAGACTCTGTCTAAAACAAATAAAGTAAGTAATTTAAAAGTATTCATGTTAGGTCCTCCTGCTCCTATTACTCATTCATTTATTTTCTTTCTAAGCTTTTTTTTTTTTTTTTTTTGAGACAGGGTTTCTCTGTGTAGCCCTGGCTGTCCTGGACTTGTTTTGTAGACCAGGCTGGCCTCAAATTCGCAGGGATCTGCCTGCCTCTGCCTCCCAGTGCTGGGATTAAAGGTGTGCACCACTGCACCTGGCATGCCGCTCGCTATTTTTCAGACTGGACTGTGTCATACAGGCCAGCCTGGGGTGGACTTTGTAATCCTCCTGGCTCAGCTTGCTCGCAGATACGCTGGCATGAATCCAAGCTTGGCTTCACTTTACGTTTATGCATTGCCAGAGACTGGACCCAGGGCCTCACAGACAGAGCAAGCGTTCACCACTCAGTGGCGTCACCACAACTTTTGGAGACGGAGAGGGTGAGCTAACTTGTGCCGTGGGATGGAGTCCAGCGACTCCTGGGTGCTAGGCAAACGCTCTACAGACCGTGCCACAGCCGCGGTCCCAATCCTCATTTCTACTCAGAAGCGCATATATTTGCTTCACCCACTGTATAGATAAGGGAAATGACGGACCGAGTGGACCCAACCCTCAGACCACAGTCTCCTTCCGAGCAGTGGAAGTGACTGTTCAATGGCAACATGGGGTCTTTACAGTAGTCTGAGGGCGGATGCTCTTTGAGTGACAGCCTATGGCCAGAGAATCTTCTGCCTCAAGTCTCTGCTGATGTCTAAAAATGTCAAGCAGGGTCCGGGTTTCAACACCATCCGTAGTTTCAAACACAGTGTTCTGTCCCCTGTAACACAGAAAAAAAAAAAAAATGCTCAGATACAGTAAGGTGGGGCGAAGGAGCAACGCGCGAGGCCTTGTGGGAATTGTAGTCGAGGCTCCGCCTCCACCTCGCGCATGCCCCGCCCATGGAACTACGCTCCCGTCGTGCTCCGCGGCGGCAGGCGGGGCGGCCCGGTTGCTAGGACTTGGAGAAGCGTGGCGTTCCCGCGGATGTCCCTCAGGTGAGCAGCCGCCGTGAGGGCTCGGCTTCCGCCGTTCCGGATCCGCCACCGGGCAGCGTGGTTGGTGACAAGGCCCCGGCGGCGGACGGGGAAAGGAGACCTTGGTGGGGTGGACCTCGTAGGCTGAGTGTCCCGCACGCCCCGGGAGGCTGGCGGGCTTGCGCGTGTGCGCGTGCGCGATCAGTCAACGCTAATAGGCGTGTGCACAGGCCTTTGCGGCCACCGCGCCCCACGCCGTCGGTTTGCTGCGCACGCGTGTACCCTACTTCTCATTCCGGAAACCCCGTGATTTCCAGTTGCTTCCGGTTGTCTGTTCCGGGTCATCACAGTCCCCTGCCTCAGGGTTTTCTGTTCACCATCTTTACAGCAGGTGTGCAGTTTCCCTTTAAGCTGTGGTACCCTGTGGGAATTCTTGAGGTGTCTTTGGTGGTATCAGGGATCGAATCCTGGACTGTGGTTATATTAGGCTGGCTCTGAACTACTGATCCACGCCCCCTCCATCCAGTAGCGGATTCCAGGCAGGAGCTCCGAATATCTCTGTGCCCAGCCTCCCCCTCACTGGGAGGTTTAGGCAGCGGCTTTCCACCCCTGAGCTAAGCCCTAGCCCCTCACTCTAGTATATACGTAGGCTCTCTGCTGCTGAGCTCTGCCCCGAGGCCCCTGTATCTTATTTTGGAAGGTTTTGCCGTATGGCTCATGCTCCCTAGTGGTATATTGAGTGCCTGGTGTTTCAGTCCTGTGCTTCCAGACCTGATGCTGTGGTGCTGTTTCCTGTCCCTCCCTGCAGGCAGTCCAGGCTGCAGCCATGGTCCCCTTCTGTTGGACCGTGGACCCAGGGCCTGCAGTTCCGTTCGGAGAGAGTCCGAGGCTCTTCAGAGAGAGGCAGGCTTCCGAAGCCACTGTAGGGAGTGTCTGGTGGGCCTCAGGTCCGTCTGTGGCACAAGGAGCCCCTTCAAACCTGTTCCTATGCCGACCCACAGTGGGTACCTGTCACCTAAAACAAGGGAGCCATTCATGCTGGTGTCCACTTCAGTCCCAACATTTGTGCAAGAGGATGACTGCAAGTTTGAAGCTGGCTTGGTACACGTGGTGCGCTCTAGGCCTGCCTGGGCTAAATAGGGAAACTTTGTCTCAAAACAAAACAAAACAAAAAAAACCAAGCAAATATAACTGGCCTCTTTAGCAATGAATTTGAAGGGCCCCTTTGGCGACAGCATTGACTACTATCTTACTATCCTATAGCTATTAAACCCCTCACCAGAGGTCTATAAGCCCAGGCTGTCTGTCCCCAAGGCAGTCTTCTTTCTGTGTCCCTTGTCTTGTAGTTTTCAGGGTACAAACAAGGCTGTGTCTTCTTCCCTGGAGACAGTGGTGCTTTGTGGCCCGGGCAGGCCATGTGGGTTGTAGGTGTGCTACATGCCCTGGGGAAGCCGGATGTCACTGCGGCCCCTCGTGGGCTCTGCCTGCCATGGGGCCTGTGCAGGAGGAACCATGGTGACACAAGGCTCTCAGATGGGTCTGGTGCTGTTCTTCCTTTCTAGACTCACAGCTCCTAGTGGCACCTGCAGTTCTCTAATCAGCCCATGGAGCCATGCAGTGTTGACCTGGGCAGCCTGGGTGAGCCCTGAAAGCCAACAGATGTACTCGAATCCATCTCACAGAATATTCCTATAGCCAGGTGGTCCCCCCCCCCCCCATTTCCTTCTGCTTTGTTTATTGAGCCACCTCCCCAACCCCTTGGGGAAGGATTCCAGGCAGTGGCCTCATGATTGTCTTGTCTCAGTGCCTATAGGCTGTGCCTATAGTCTACTATGTCGGCAAGGGCGAGGTGGGACAGGGCAGTGGCTGTCAGCCAAGCTGATGACTTAAGGATGGCCAGTGTGTTTAGAGGCAGAGAACCAGGCCTAGGTGGTCTGCTGTGGGGGTGCCATCTTGCTCAGATCTGCCGTCTTGCCCCTGTCCAGCTGTGACTCCAGAGCAATTAGAAGCCGTGTCTGAGGGCTGAGAGGGTCCGCTTCCTGCAGCCTTGCCCTCACTGGGCGCCTCTCGGAACATGGCTTTTTTCCTATGTGTCACAGGGTGGCAGTGGTGCTGGCCATCAGCTCAGGCTTTACCTGGGTATTGGCACAGCAGGCCCTCAGTGTTGGCTGAAGGCTCAGGTGTCATGGACAAGCAGGTTCCCAGGCTAACTCACTGAAGCAGGAGATGGGTGGCCTTGGTCAGGCCACCCCATGGAGCACAAGTCTACAGTGGAAGGTGTCATGGCCACATGCTTGCCTTTCCTCGAGGGGGCTGCATTCTTAGGGTTCATCTTAGGCCTGCCACCGTTTTCTGGGGGTACAGAGGATTGAGATGGGGTCTTGCCCTGTAGCTCTGGCTGGCTGTCCTCCAGTTTACAGCCATCTTCCTGCTTTTGGGCCACAAGTGCTGGGCTGACAGATGTGTGCCACTGGCTAGACCAGTGTGGGCATGCCCCATAGGAGCCACCTGGGTCAGGTCCACTTTGAGGTGTATGCTTTTGGGGGTTGGTCCCGAACTTCCCCACATTGTCACTATATAGAAAATGTGACATTTAGCACCTTTTTATGCTACAGCCCAAGGGCCAGAGCCAGAAGCTCCATGTCCTGTAACCACTCCCTCTGCTTGGCTCTTTTCTCAGACCAGACTAGGCAGGTCCACTCCCCACACCACAGGCAGAATTCCATTCCTTCTGACTATAGGCCTGAAGTCTTGAAGACAGCCAAAGCTGTCAGCAGCTCACACTAGACCAGTGACCTCTGGAGGCACAGACTGAGAAGCAGTTGTCTGTGGGTGAGGTGACCATGGGCTTGTTTTGGGGGCCAAGAACTGGGTTCTGTTTCTCATGTTTTTTTTTTTTGTTGTTGTTGTTTTTAAAGATAAAGTTTTTGGTGTTTCTTTCTTTCTTTTTTTTTTGGAGACAGGGTTGTTTCTCTGTGTAGCCCTGACTATCCTGGACTAGCTTTGTAGATCAGGCTGCCCTCCAACTCACAAGAGATACGCCTGCCTCTCCCTCCCCTAGTGCTGGGATTACAGGTGTGCGCCACCATGCCCGGCTTAGAGACAAGAGTTTTTGTAGCCCAGGCTGGCCTCCAAATCAGCATGAGCTCCTGAGAGGACAGGGTGCCTCCAGGTCTGGTTTACACAGGGCAAGGGCTGGAAGCCGGGGCTTTGTGCTTACTGCCGGGGTGGGTTTTGGATTTGATAGTAATGAGTGCCTGTCTCCACACTATCTCAACACGGCGTCTGTTGGGTGCCCTGAAGAGCCCGGCACAGTTATTCCTTGCCTGGTCGTGGAGGAAGCTGACTCTATCTGGCGCTCTGGACTCCACTCCTGGGCCTGGCAGTACCCACAAGTATCCCAGGACAGACCCCTGTCCCGCTGAAGCTGACGGATGACGCTCCAGTCCCATCTCTGTCTCCCACAGTTGAGCCCCGCTGAGGATGGAGCCCACCTCTGGCCTGGCAGAGCAGCCTGGGCCCGAGAAGGCTGGAAGTGAGGAACAAGAGCCCGCGCGATGGCAAGCCCTCCCCGTCCTGTCGGAGCAGCAGTCCGGAACTGTGGAGCTGGTGCTGGCCTACGCAGCTCCTGTCCTGGACAAGCGCCAGACGTCCCGCCTTCTCCGGGAGGTGTCCGCTGTTTATCCGCTTCCCGCCCAGCCCCACCTCAAGCGGGTGCGCCCCAGCCGCAGCGCCGGCGGCGCCCATGCATCGGATCTGTTGCTGTGCCTGGCAGGCCCCTCTGCTGGCCCGCGCTCGCTGGCTGAGCTCCTCCCCAGGCCGGCTGTGGACCCCCGTGGCCTGGGTACACCTTTCCTGGTGCCTGTGCCCGCCCGGCCACCTCTCACCCGGAGCCAGTTTGAGGAGGCACGAGCCCATTGGCCCACATCCTTCCATGAAGATAAGCAGGTGACCAGCGCGCTGGCCGGGCAGCTCTTCTCTACGCAGGCGCGAGCTGCCATGCAGAGCCACATGGAGCGGGCGGTATGTGCCGCCCAGCGGGCAGCTGCCCAGGGCCTGCGGGCGGTGGGCGCCGTTGTGGTGGACCCAGCCTCGGACCACGTGTTGGCCACAGGCCATGACTGCAGCAGCGTGGACAGCCCCCTGCTGCATGCCGTCATGGTGTGCATCGACCTGGTGGCCCAGGGCCAGGGCCGGGGCTCCTGCGACCTCCGAGGCCACCCAGCGTGCACCTTCACCCAGGCTACCGCTGCCCAGGGTACCCGTGCCGGCAGCGTGCGCAAGCTGGAGGAGAATGAGGACGGCCTGCCCTACGTGTGCACCGGCTATGACCTGTATGTCACCCGAGAGCCCTGCGTTATGTGCGCCATGGCCCTCGTCCACGCCCGCATCCAGCGAGTCTTCTATGGGGCCCCCTCACCCGATGGCGCCTTGGGCACACGCTTCCGTGTCCATGCGCGGCCGGACCTCAACCACCGCTTCCAGGTGTTCCGAGGCATCCTGGAGGACCAGTGCCGCCCGCTCGACCCTGACCCATAGGCCTGCTGACTGCTTCTGGACCGTTCTCTGCTCCTGGCCGGCCTGCATCCCCTGCAGCTCCATGGCCCTGGACACCGGGGCCCACCCTCTGTGTCTCAGGACACCGACCACCTGTGTCAGCATGTGGGCCTCTTGTCTGCTGCCTGCTGGGGCCGTGGGGCTCAGCTCCCCTTACATGCCCAGTGGCTGTCTTATAGCCCCCGTGGTCCTCCAGGCTCGGGCAGGGAGCAGCCAATGTGTGTGAAAATAAAGCACCTCAAACTAAGTTCCCGTCTGCACTGAGGTGCCAGGCTGGGTTGGGTATCCGAGTCAGGCTGTGTGGCTTGAGTGGGGAGGACAGCCCTGCTGAGTGCACACGGCTCTGGGTGTTTGCAGGGCGGTCCCTCCCGCCCTGGAGGCCAGCCAGGAGGTTCCAGGTTCGTCTGACCCTGTTGGCTTGGGGTTGGGTTACCCACAGGCTGTCCGTGGCCATTCTGTGTTCCTCTGATGGGAGGCAGGGGCTCCAGAAGGATCAGGCTGAGTGTGGTGGGGTGCTAGGCCTTGAAGCAGGATGCTGGGGCTTCTGACGTGTGCTGCTTGCCTGGCAGCGCTGCTTCTGAGGGCCTGTCTGACCGTAGGGATCCCCGCCATCCCAGTCTGACGGGACATGGGGTTTTGCTAGCGGTGCTGGCTGTGCAGCCGCCTGCCTCAGGCAGGAAATGCCAGGCCTAGGCCGGGTGGACACCCCAGAGAGCGACCAGGCAGATACGGACAGAGAAAGTGTAGCCCAGCCTAGAGCAGAAGCGGGACTTGGGTTCCAGCCCGCATCTTCATGTGGTCTTTCAGCCTTCCTCTGAGGGAAACCAGGGCCCTTCCTGGAAGCCAGGCTTCTGCAGCTTCACTCCAGTGACAAATAGGCAGGGTGGGGCAGAGAGAGGCTCACAGCCCTGCCTGAGCACTCTGAGGGACTGTGGCCGTGTCCTGAAGGTGGCACCTAGGGTCAGAGGTACTGCTGGGTGCCGCTGGGGCTGTGCCAGGCTGCCTGTGAGATCCCGGGGGAGAGTTCCATACCCACAGCCGCTGTGACCTGGCTGCTGTCACATGGCAGGGAGCACTCTTCGGGGTGTTTCGATGGGGAGGGGAACACTGAGGGATGTTACTAGAGCCATCAATGGGGGCACCAAGACCAGGACATCCTGTTCCAAGGCTGTGGGTGGAGTCAGCTGGCAGCCCAACCCGTCCCCTTCGGACTGCTCTGAGAAGGGACGTGAGGCTGCCCTACATCCGGCTCAGCACCTGCTGAGCCAGCAGCCAAGCTGGTTGGCCTGTCCAGCGCCTGCAGCCATGAGCCGGGCCAGGGTCATCCTGCTCCCAGCAGCTATAGTCACCTGACACTAGTCTCCTTTCAGGTGGGCCATTGTGCCTGGGTGCCAGGCCAGCCGGTACAGAAATGGCAGGTGAGTCCGCCCTGTTTTCCAGGCAGAGTTCCCAGCTCCACTAAGCTGCACTTTCAGAGCTGCCCTCCCTCCGCCAGCCTGGGTCCCATAGCAGAGCACAGACAGGCCACCAAAGAACCACCTACATCTTCCAGCTTGCAGATGAGGGAGGGGCTGAAGCGAGACAGCTTGGAGGAGTGTGCAGGGACCCCATGGCTGTGGAGGGCCTCTGGCTGGCCTGTCGATTTCTGCCCTCCTTGTTAGCCTAACCACTCCTGGACCCTGGGTGCCAACCCCAGGGCCTTCATACCGACTGCAGCTGCTCCCTCGTGGCTTCCTCCTCCCAACCCCAAACACACTCAGTGCTGCGGTATGACTGGCTGCAGCCCACCAACGGGGCAGCTGATCACGCAGGGCTCGTGTCTTGTCCAGCTTTGGGTTCCCTGAGGTGTGGAGAGGCAGTGGCAGGCCACCTGGGGGTCTCCTTCCTGCAGGAAAGGAGGATAACTCTCCTCCCTTGGCACCCTTCCCACCTCTGAGGCCCTACTTCTACCAGGACTTATCTGATGAGACCCCATGGAGCACCAGGTGCCGCTGAAGAGATCTACCAGAGGACCCACTGGCTGCAGAGGTATGAGCCTCTGGTGGGCGGGCCCAACCCCGAGGGCACAGGGATCCCCAGAAGGCAGGAGCAGTGTGGTCCCTGTGTGAGGCTCATTCGTATTGTGCAGGTAGGGAGGGTCCTGGGCCTGGCCCATGTCCCGTGGTCCAGCTGGTGTCTCCCGGGCCTGGCAGAGGTCCTGGTGACTTACCCCCTTACTCCTCTTCCTTCTGTGTCTCCCAGTTTACCGTGCGGCTCTGGGTGTGAACTAGTGGCCTGCCTGGCCTGGTGGATGGGGGGCGGAGCAGGGGCCAGCTTCCGCCTGGCCATGCTCTGGCTGCTTCTCTTCACTTCCTGCAGTTTTGTGTGCTGGTTCCAGCCTGCATACAAGGCCTTCTGAGCCGGCTCCAGGGCCGGAGGATCTCAGAGCCACTTGCAGGGCAAGCATGCTGAGCTGCAGGTCACCAACATGCTGGCCCATGGAGGTTGTGTTTTCTGACTCCTGAAGACCTGGGATCTGCCCATCAAGGACAGGCCTTGGCCCAGTTACTAACAGATTATCCTGCGCTTGTCCAGGGTGGGTGACCACAGGCCACAGGCAGCTTCTATCTCCAGTGGCTGCCGTGGAGGCCAGGCCCTGGACTGAGCCCCGCCCTGCCCCCTGCTGCTTTGATGTGGAGTGTTGCTCCCTGCCTCAGTGTCTGGATTGCAGGCCCATACCTCCATGCCCAGCCTTGTTTTGATGGTACACCCACAAGCATGTGCCATGGCACAGCCGTAGCAGTTACAGGCCATTTGTTCTCCACCTGATGAGTCTCAGGGCTCAAACTCAGGCCATGAGGCTTGGCAGCAAGCACCTCTAACCCATGGAGACATCTTTGTAGGCCCGGCCCTGCTGTTAGACTGCTTTAGCAGGCATTGTCTCGTGCACTGTAGTTCCTGAATGCAGCGCACCTCGGGGTTGCTGGCTACCGCTGTTAGAAGATTCCAACACCCCAAAAGGAAGCCAGTCCTCAGCAGCAGCCACCACCTGCGGCCTCCACAAATCCACATATCGTCACAGAGCATGTGGCCTTCTGGGTTTGTTTCTCTAAGCACAGGGTCCCTCCACTATGGTGTGTGTCAGAGCCTTGCTCCTGTTCATGGCCACGTAGTACTCCCGCCTGTAGCTGGACCCGGCTATGTGTCCGCCATCTATCCACAGGCCTCTGCTCTCAGCTGCCTCACCCCCTCCTCTTCTGGCAAGTGTTGTGTTTGCTCATAAATGGTGCCTGAGCTAGCCTGAGAGGAGAGCAGCCCAGCAGATCCGTGACACATACACCGGCTTAGCCACCACGCAGGAGCAGAGTGACCCTGAGTCGGCCCGCATCCACCCCCAGAAGCCCCCTTCCTTCCGAGCAGCAGCACCTTGGAGGTGGCCCCTTCCCTCCTGGTGTCAGGGTTAGCCACTCTCCATGCTGCTGGCACTCCATGCCATCCCCAGGGGCAGTGGCACCCTGCGGCCCAGCACTCAAGCTGTCTGTTTGCTGAGGAGGTTAGTCATTTCAGCATGTAGGCCCATCAAGGACAGCGGAATCTTGGCACTCAGTCCTCCCTCTGGGCCTCACTCCCTCCTTGGTAGTGTGGTGACCACTGCATTTTCTCTCCCTTGCAGAGCCAACAGCTCCTTGTAACTTCACGACATTCGTCTTCGGAGCCCAGTTTGTGCTGGCCGTCATCCAGGCCATCAGCTTCTTGGCCTGGGGCGTATGGTAAGAAGATGGAGGCTGTGCCTCTTCTGCGTACCTTTGTATGAGAGTCGCTACCACCGTGGGTCCAGGGCTGTCAGGCCCCAGGGACCGGAGGAGCCTGGGCCTCGGGCCACCGGCAGAGCACGCTGTCGAGCTGCCCCCAACCCTGCGAGGCCAGTGCCACTTTTCAGGTTGAGGGAGAACCATCCTGCCATGCTGCCCAAGCCTGCCTTGAACAGACACCACCCTGTGTCTGTTGCCAGTGTCTTGTTCCTTGGCTGGTCTGTAACCTGGTACTTAGACTACACCGGCCTAGAACTCACAGAGGTTTGCCTCCCTGACTCCTGAGTGCCTCCATAAAGGCCTGTTCCACCATGTCTGAGTGTCTGTTTCTTTTGTGTGTCCTAGTCAAAGTCCACATAAGGGACCCAGGCGCCCGCTTGCCTTTCAGTGCTTCTCATGAACCATGCCCTCCCACACCCTCCCTGCCAGCTGGAGCCTGTAACCTTTGAACGGCTGTCACCCAGCCATGCCACCAGTGCCTGACTCAGGCTGGCAGGCTGCATCCTCAGGATGGGTGGGCTGCTGAGGGCTGAGGGGGGAGGACCCTGAGTTTAAGGCTAGCCTGGGAGACTGAAATACTGTTAGCAAAGAAATCGGTGGTGGTGGCAGCACACACCTTTGACCCCAGCACTCAAGAGGCAGAGGCAGGCGTAGCTCTGAGTTCCAGGCGTCCCATGTGCATCTGTCACAGGACGGCCGGCGTCCCCGGCTGTGGGCTGTGACAGGGAGTCTTGTGGAAGCTCAGGGCTTGTGGAGGACACACAGCTCTCCTGAGGTGACTGCACCTCAGGCTGCAGAGGAGGGCAAGCACTGAGCACTGTGTCTCACCGGCACTAGGGCTTTAGGCTCAGGAGCCTGCAGGTGCTAGTTTTTCCCACACTACTTTATTGGGGAGTTTCTTAAAGCTTATACCTATCTTTCAACCCCAGGTAGGAGAAGTGTGAGACCAGAGGACTCAACTTCACAACAGTGATGGCCATCATGACAGCAGACAAAGAAAACTTAATGCTGGGATCAGCATGACCATAGCAGCCCCAACAATGACCCCAAAGAATTCAAGAGCTGCCAGCGAGCCACTGCAGAGTGAAAGAGAAGGGAGACAGGGAGAAAAAAGGGCTCAGCACACAGAGAAGGGCCTGCTGTCCTTCATATACAAAGAGCTCTGACAAACCAACAAGGAACAGGTAAAGAAGGCCTGCTTTCCTTCACATGTACAGAGCTCCAACAGATCATCAAGAAAAAGGTAACTTTAAAGGAGCCAGTTCAGTTAAACAATTTAACAGGTTTCAGCTCACAGAACATGCAGAGCAGGAAACCGCATTTCAAAGAAAGCATTAAGTCAAGGCCTTGATAACTCCTACAGGTCAGTGTGGTGTCTTTCATTCTCTAAATAAGTGGGGATTAATGGGACATACCTTCAGGGACTCATAAGGTAGACATGAGAATCAGGAAGAAGTTGAAGGTCATCCTTGTCTACACATAGAATTTGAAGCCACCCTGGGCTATATAAGAACCTGTCTCAAAAATTAAACACAATGGCACATCTTTAGTCCCAGCACTTGGAAGGCAGAGGCAGGCAGATCTCTGAGTTCGAGGCCAGCCTAGTCTACAAAGTGAGTTCCAGGACAGCAGCCTGTATGTCGGCTATGGCTTCCGTTGCCATCCACCTTGCTTTTTGAGGCAGTCCCCCACTGAACTGGGGGCTCGAAGATTTGCCTAGGCTGGGTGGCCGATGAGCACCAGGGATCCTCCTGCCTATGCTGCCCCAGGGTTACAGGCGGCCACTGCCATGTTCTGCTGTTTTCCTGGGTGCTAAGCCAGTGAGTGACACACATGTCTAAAAAATAATAATGGGATCAGGGTTATCCTGGGCTACATAACAAGTTCAAAGCCTGCCTGGGCTACATGGAAATCTGTCTCAAAAAGAGAAGATTCAGAGAAGAGTGCCCCTGGGAGCGCCCATAGTAATGGGTTCTTTGCAGAGAACGTTAGTGAGCCTGGCACTTGGATGAGTCCTCGACACACCTACTTGCGTGGTGACATTAAAAAGCAGAGAGGCAGATGCCCTGAGGAGGAGCACAGATGGGACACTGTGCCTCTCTGGAGCAGGCAGGCCTGGGCTTCCCACAAAGTGAGCGCGGTGGGGCCACCTCTTCCTTGACCTCCGGGCTGTGTCCCACAGAATAGAGACAAGCTTGCCAGCTGACTAACACTCTCCCTCTAAGCTTGTGTCTCTACACAATTCATTGCCACACATGGAGCAACAGTTCCTGCAGCAGCAATGAGGAAGTCCACAGAATTCTCTCCCTACCCTATTCTTCTTCCATGGGTATGGTGCCACTCTGCATTCAGCCACCAGGGGGCACTCTTCTCCCAGCTTGTCCTCTACAGGTTCCCTAAGGCTGTCCTAACAGAATACAATGGTCATGGTCCCTCTCTGTTCCACCCACCTTTTCCCACCCTGAGGCCTGTCTCCAAAGTCCCTAATACAATATTACATGCTGTAACCCATTCTCTGCTTTTATTCTTTTAATCTGTTCTAGTTTTGTTTTGTTTTGTTTTTTAAAAGGTCTCCTGTAGCACAGGCTGGCCTCCAGAATACTGTGCAGCCAAGGCTGGCCTTGAACTCCTGATTCTCTTGCCTCTGCCTTTTTTGGGAGGCGGGGGGGGGGGGTTGACACAAGTTTTCTCTGTGTAGCCCTGGCTGTCCTGGAACTCACTGTGTAGCCCAGGCTGGCCGTGAACTCACAGAGATCCGCCTGCCTCTGCCTCTCGGGAGCTAGGACCAAAGGGGTGCGCCACCAGCACCCAGCTTTTGTCTCACTCCTCTACGTGCTGGAATGCCAGGTGCATCGCAGCACTCTGGGCTTGCATTTTCCTTCACTGGCTCCTTCCATTCACCTCTGCTTCTTGGGGTTCTCTTTAGAACTTACGCTGGCTGGGGGCTGGGGCAGCACAGAGCATGCTCATCTCTGAGGCCAAGAAGAGGGTCCACCACTTGGAACCTTCTCCCAGAGTTCTCATTTAGGACTGTTCTCCAGTCTTCAGAAAGCCCTAGAATGCTTTGCATGGGGAAAAAGCAGCAAGCTGTAGAATCAGGGTTTCAGATTCTGGAGGCAAGAGGGGCTGCCCTGCCAGACGTCATCTTGTCCTGGGATGGTAAGTAGGGAAACTGTCCTTGCCTCTTCCCTCCCATGCAGACATTACCAATCAACTGAGGAACGCATGATCTGCTCCATGCTTTGCATAGGACAGGCGATGAGCAATCAATCTGCCAGCCAATAAAGTTCTCCATTCTATGCACAGGGATTCTATGCATCACCAATCAGTTGATGGAGAAATGATATCTTCCTACATTCTTTTCACAGGGCCGAGGTCAGCAAGTGATATCAGCCGGGTGGTGGAGGCACACACCTTTAATCCCAGCACTGGGGAGGCAGAGGCAGGTTGATCTCTGTGAGTTTAAGGCCAGCCTGGTCTACAGAGTGAGTTCCAGAGCAGCCAAGGCTGCACAGAGAAACCCTGTCTCAAAAACCAAAACAACAGCAATTAATCTCACAGTGATGCCCTTCCTCCATTCAGGCATCACTAATCAAGGCAGTTAGAGATATGCTCTTCTCAGCATGGAGCCAGGCATCACTAACGTGTCTGTGATGGCTTCCCTCCTCTATATAGGGCAGAAAGGTGGCAAAGAGGAAACCACATGGCAGCTCAGTTCCAACTCAGCTTTTTACTGATGAGGCTGAGGCCCACAAGTTTCCTGAAAGACACCTGCAGGCACATCCCGAGACAGGGTGAGCCCTGGCAGGGCAGCACCTCCAGCCCCCACAGCGTGCGACCCTGGGGATTAGCTCAGCCTCTAGTCCCCAGAGCAACACCCAAACAGCAGCGTTGTGTCTTCCAAGGCTGGTTCCTGCTGGATGACCCAGACTGTCCTGTCACTCAGAGAGAAACTACCATGGCTGGAGGTCAAGACTGGGCACCTTGCCACTCTGGGTGAGGGAGCCATCTGTAACCAGAGCCGCCCGCCGAGAAAGCCAGCACAGGGTGTGGGCAGCCCTCGCCTGCTGGGTCCTCTCGCTCCTTGCTGGGGACGGGATGTCATCAGGCTCCTGTTGCCTCCTCTAGCTGCCTAGGGCTCCTGGCACCTCACCAGCTGCCAGTGACTAAGTTGCCTGCTGTGCTGGGCCTTTTTCAGTGCAGACATTACAACCCCAGTCTGGGCTGGGGCTCAGTGGGTGATGTTCGCCCAGCACCCAATACTCAGAAGTGGATAGCCGTTCAAGGACACCCTCTGCTACATGTGGGGCTTGAAGCCAGCGTGGACTACATGAGACCCTGTCTTAAAAAGAAATCTTGGAGCACACCTGGAATCCCAGCACTCTTGGAGGCAGAGGCAGGCGGATCTCTGGGAGTTTGAGGCCAGCCTGGTCTACAAAGTGAGTCCAGGTCTGGAGAGATGGCTCAGCGGTCAAGAGCACTGGCTGCTCTTCCAGAGGTGCTGAGTTCTTAACTCCCAGCAGGCACACGGTGGCTCAGGACCACCTACAGTGGGATCTGCTCTCTCCTGTCATGCAGGCACACATGCAGATAAAGTGCTCATATGTAGAAATAAATATTGTTTAAAAGTGAGCGTAGGACAGAGATCCTGCCTTAGAAAACAAAACAAAGCAAAAAACAAAACAAACAAAAAATCTTGGGTGCTGGGGCTGAAGTGATACCTCAGAGGTTAACAGCACTGGCTGCCCTTCCAGAGGACCCTGGTTCAATTCCCAGCAACCACATGGTGGCTTACAACTGTCTCCAGTTCCATGGATTCTGACACCTTCATACCAATGCACAAAGAATAAAATTAAATTAAAAAAAAAAAAAGAAAGAAAATCTTGCCAGGCATGCTGGTACATACACACCCCTTTACTCCTAGTACCTGGGAGGAGGCAGGAGGATCCCTGTGAGCTCCGCGACAGCATAGTCAGTTTCAGTCAGCCTGGGCTACACAGTGAGACCCTGTGTCAAAAACAAGCAAAAAATTCCTGGCTTGGAGGGATGGCTCAGAGGTAAAGATGTGTACCACAGTAGCTAGCAACCCGAGTTCCATACCCAGCCCCCACATGAAGGTGGGGGGACCTGGCTCCACCACGTTGGCCTCTGACCTTCACAAGTGCTGTGCCACAAGCACACGCACACACAATTTTTAACTATTCCAACATATGGTGAGCGTGGCAGAGCCTTACCTGTTCTCCAAAGGTCCCCGCCCCGGTTAGAGCCGCCTGGTGAGGAGCTACCGAGTCTCAAAGTGCTTAACCAAACCAAT